ACCCAAGTTTGGGTAGTTCCAGTTTTCAACCTTTCTTGGGTAAAATTAACCCAGGCAATTTTTCAGTGTACCTATTTATACTCCTGGGGAGAGAGAGGCAATATAAGAGTAAAGTGTCTTGCTCCAGGAACACAAACACCATGTTCCCCGCCAGGGTTTGAACCCACGTCGCACATGAATCGAACACCGTAACCGTTGGACCTACAGTGCTCCACAAAATGTGGAGTAGATGTGTACGAGCAAATATGTTTACTATCTTAAGCACCTGCTATTAAAAATAGACCTCCTTTGCACTACAGCCTGTCTCAAAAAAATGGTACAATCAGAAAAAAAAATTGGTTAAATATGAAATTTCAAAATAAGTCATTCTTACTTGGCATAATATTAAAGAACAAAGACTGGGCTTTCCAATAGTGTTTGTTTGATCTTATTTGCTTTTGTCAATTCAGAGATATAATCAATTCAGTGCGATACACCAAAATCGATTCGTGCCACTTTTATGCATGGGCAGAGTTGTTTCGAGTACTGTGTTATGCTGTCTTGAAGCTCACAAAAGATTGCAACTTGGCAAAAGAAACACACTCGATTTTTGTGTTCCGCAGTAAACTGGAGTTATCTCTGGATTGACAAAAGCAAATGAGATGAAACAAAAAGTATTGGAAAGCCTGGTCTTTTTTCCTTAATGTGATGCTCAAAACGACTTACTTATGTTGAGATTTAATATTGAAAAAAAAAATCGTTTTCGATAGTACCATTTGTTTTTAGACAGGCTGTACAAACGGCACACAGTCGCATTAGTACGTAGTTGGTAACATCTATTAATTTGCAATGCTCGGCACAAAAGGGAAGAAATTAAGCCTTTTAAGATGGATAGGTTCCAACATTTGTGAATTTGATTGAACGGGTATAGAGACTGTTACAACACGTCTCAATACAGATGTCATAATTTCATTAAATAATTTTGTTTATTGAATATAACCAATATTGAATATAGTTGCAAACCAGTCAATTAAAGCCTAATGGATTAAACAAGTTGTTTGTTGAATACGCGATACGCAAAAGTACCAAACCTTTGAATATTGAAAATCTTGTGTAAAAACCCATTAATCTCATAAAGCCAAATTGAATTTGCTTCGCTTTGCGGAAAGGTATCCATTAATATGTCTCCAGCGTTAATTCTTGTTATTAAATTTAGTTTTTAATTGTATTTTAAGAATTTGACGAACACCAGTCAGTCTTAATGGACCGAACAAGTAATTTTCAAATACTCGATACAGGTAACAAACCCTTGGCAAATTTAAACTTTGCTTCATACAAAATCACCAATAGGTCCAAACAGCCAAATTGAATTTATTTTGCGCTATACTTTGGAGGCTTCCCATTATTATGTTTCTCAATGAGCAAAAGGTCATACAATTATCAAATTGTTTTATTAAATAAATTATCTACGTGGATGTCAAAATTACCACGACTAAATATTCCCAATTGTCTCTTTTTAGTACGAAAATTGCATTGACAAAATTATAATAGTTACATCTTAACATTCGGTAACTGTTTCTACATATGTGAGCACTCAGGTTACACAAGGCAAATTACCCCTCAGCAAGATTCATTTAAGGTTACATTTTTTTTCCAGAGATTATTAACCAAAATTGCATAACCTAGACAAAAATAACGTCTAAGGAAACGTCGGCCCACGTTTTCTCAATGCTGTTCCATAGAAATTATCTTTATAAAAAAACGCATACGATTGTAGAACAGCGGGCCGTCCTGTCAACGGCTCTGACGTATTTGCGTTGTTGCCGGGGGAAACCAAGACAGAGAGCGACTATACGAGCGCGGTAATTTTCCGAATTTATTGAATTTTTCATTTTTCATTTCACACATCAGGAATTTTCCCCTTGTCGTGTACGTCCGAGTGCGTTTGCGGACAATCTGAACATTACGGGACGGGAGGCGGTCGGCGAGAGACTGCAACTCCGCGCGGTAGCAGCCGGTCTTCTGGACAACTTCCATTTCCAAGTCTCCCGCTCGTAAGAGCAACAGCTGCGCCACACAGCGCCCTGCCGTTTTTTTGGCGCGGAAGGGAAGACACAAATAACCTTTTTATAAATTATGAAGATAAAGTGTATGGTATATCACAAGCATGTTGGGCTTCGTGTGTGTACATTTTGCGTGTGGGGAGACGCAAACACTGTGCCTTACTCTATCACTATATCGTGTTACCTTACGTACCGGCAGAGCCATCTGCACTCAGGGAAAATGGCCAACCGTTGAGGGATGAGAAATCTTGGTACTACTAGCTCCCATGAATGGCCCCATCATGCAAATTGCTCGCTCGGACTAAAAGCTCCCCGCGTCTGTCTCCCTTCCCTTCCCTCCCTCCCTAAACTACCTGTTAAGCCAAAAACCTGTAGCTATCCCCACACGATCCCCGGGTTTGCTGTTTCAATTTAAATTTGTCAAGCGGACGCAGCTGTGTCGCTAGCGCCGGAGAGTGGCCTGTCCCGCGCCGATTAAGGCCGGCAATTTGCGGCGCTGCGCGCGGGGTAAGTGCAGGGGGGAGCACGCTCACTCAGAGACGGTAAAGAAACAAATAAGGAGGGAAAAAATGGGGGCTGCCAAGCGAACATGGGACGGCAAATTAGATTGGACGTATTTATTTAAGGAGCACGTAAGGGAAAGCGATGTGATTCTATATTTCTCCTCTTGTTTCCCCTCTTTTTTCCCTCCTCTCTCTTTTTCTAGCTGTAGGAACGGCTGGCGTGTGTAATTCATAATCATTCCTTGGTTGCCGAGCGCAATGGATTGGTATCACTGAGGTGGTGATAGTACACGAGAATGACTGATGTTGAAGCTGCTATGGGCAATTGATATGAACGGCCCAGGGGCCAGCGTGCCACTCAGCGCTCAGATAATAATTAGGCTAGATTGAAACCACATTTTGTTCTATAAAAACTCTCAATATTTAAGTTAAAAATCTCCCGGAGTGAAACGGTAGTTCGCGATTTGTTGTGATGAGACTACACTCTTACTTTTGCAATTATAACAGAAATCAAGAAATGACGCAGAAATTCCAGATACCAATGAGGATTTTTTTTTATTAAAGTTGATGATATGATCTTTTTTTGGAAAGAACATCTTTGAAAACTATACCACCAAGAAATTATCAAAAGGTCTGTGCATAAGGTGTGTTAACAATAACGTCATTTTGGTCATGCCATAAATTCTGTAATCAGTTTTGGTTTAAAAAAAAAACAATTAGAAGTTCACATGTAACTCGCGTGTATGCTTTGTAATAATAATTGTACAGCTACAATACATCGAAAGAACAAATTTGGTGTTAATCGTTACAAATGATTGGATAATGCAATACGTAGTGTCTGCAGAAAACCCTTTAATGTTAAGATTTCACGCGGAGGATATGCTAGATATGATACCACATATTAGGCCGAATTAAGTTAATAAAATGCTGAATTTGACACTCGCCAAGCGCTAAATCTAATCGCTACAGCCATAGTCACTGACCGCACACTGATTTGTTTCATTCGCACTTGTCGTTTCGCCGCAAGCAGCTCATCTAATGCGTATACGGCAGATAGTTCTGTACGTTTTTCAATGTATGACTTAGGTTGAACATTTTGGGCTCAAATCTTTTTAATGAAGATCAGGCGAACCTATAGTAAAGTTGGCATCAGAATGCACAGAATTCTGTTTAAGTGAACCAGAATGGCTTTTTAATGGAGGTCTGTTCCTGCATCTTGTCTACACAATAAGCTGGATTTAGCCCATTCATCAGCGTTACGAGGATATCCCATACGATAGCACTGCTCAACTAACGAGTGACATGCAGTCAGTGAGTTAATCAGTCATTGAGTCAGTCAGCACATAGATGACACTGTAACCCCTGGGGACCAGCAATCGTTTTCCGTGGCTAACCATTGCACATAAATGCTCCACGCATGGCTGAAATGTTTGTACGCTGTGAATTACACTGAAACCCCCCCCCCCAATATTTTCAATCACCGAAGGAACACCATTAAAATCTGAGCCACACTTTGCCCAAGCACCATATGTCACTTCGGACAACAGGTCAATCCGATCTTCAGGCAGTATTAAGTCTCTAACAACGGTTTTCTTCGTCTTGTATCGCCAGTGTGCGCCTATTGATTTGGCTGTATCAGCTCAAGAAATCTTCCCGCGTTTCTTTTCGTTGGTTTTTTTTTGCCGCACGACAGCACACGCGTGTCATTCGGGGCTAATCGGCACCGCGCAAGACACAACCGCTTGCACTGAAGGCGATATCAAATTGACCATTAACAGTGTTTGGAGCGAGTGAAGTGCGTAAGGGAAACTCATATATTAATATGTGCAAGATGTACAAAATGTGGATTTGGCAGGAAAAAACACTTGACAGCGACTGACCTTTAACATCCATCACTCAGGCAGGCCCGAGCCTCGAGGTAACCAGTGTCCAGCTTTTGCTTAAACCTACACAAAAACTAATTGAACAAACCTCTTCGTTTGCCCCATGTATCCCACAAAGAAATGCTCATCGCTGTAATCTGTTTCAAACAAAACGAACCCCCCCCCCCAAACAACAAACAAAACAAAGGGAAATGATGCTCATACCATAAGGATAATGTTTTGAGTTGGAATGGTAAAATTAACACTTGCCGAACAAGTGCAGTTTCGAACGACACGTGTCGAATAGACCGATATGAAAAGTGTTACCTAAACAGCGCTTAAAACAAACAAGACAAAAGGAGGCGCCTGTAGAGTTTGTGCCACGCGAACCAACGAAGGGGAATTTCTGGCGTAACCATTTTCGGCAGAACTTGTTTTTTAAACTGGGCTAATATTACAATCTAGTTGAGTAGGAAACAGAACATTCTTACTTCAAATTACCGTTCATAAGATTATAATGTCAAACGAGCATTTATGGAACTTCAGCTATACAAACAACCACACACTGAAACGTCCATGTTTATTTTGGGCTGAACATTTTAATTTTATTCTATAGAAGTGTATAAAGTGTCCAATGGAAGTGGCAAAGAAACTCACAACAATCAATCAATATATTATTATGTAAGTTAAGCAAAAACATGTTTAATTGGTAACAGATAGGTCCTCGATTTCAAGTATACTGAACAATATATTATATTCTATAGTATCTGTTGGTGTAATCAAAAGAAACAAAACAGAGTAAATATTTAATTAGATGGAACACATCAATTTGTACCTGCGCTTTTCAATTCCAATTTGAAGGAAAATTTATGTTCATTTAATTAATGCAAGTAACAGGTGAGGGCATGGTAGGAGCAATTTTCGCACCAACATTTTAATTGATATTGCACAAATGAAAAACGACAGGTGAAAATGATTGTGTATGTTGCGGCTACTTTGGTCACAGTGAAATCATAAAATTTGGTCGACTAAAACAATATAGTTTACAGCTAATTATGTGCATAATGTGAATCTTTTGGTCAACCGTTTCGAAACAACAATGTAAGTATACAGTGTATAAATGCAAACACTAATTTACAGCAGATAAAAACAAGTATGTACACGATCGGTTGATTATAAAAACCATGGTCCGTATAGTATCTGAAATATATATACAGTTATATATTTTTTTGTAAGATATTTTGTACACGCTTTATTGCAGGTTTATTTCTTTAAGTCAAGAGATTTTTTCAACAAAAAGATATCTGGAATGATAAAGATCATTAGAAAACAATTGTTGGTCTTCTTCAAACTCATCATTCAGTCAAATGAAAAGGACCAACTGAAATTGCACGTTAAATAGATTCGATTCTTTAATTATGATATTGCACGTTTGTTTCAATAATGTTTAAAAGAATTGTATAAAATTGCCGAAAATATCATTCAATATGGCAAAAAAGTGAGCATTTTACCAATGCCTTTACCCGGAATGCACCGGAACTACTTTTCGGGTCGTCTGTGACCTTTGACCCCACGCGTATTATGTATCCGCCCCGCCGATTGGTCCATCAGTGCAGCCAAGCGCGCGTATATATACGTGACTGATGCGCGTAGTATTATGAGTGACATATTAAGCACGTTTGTGGCTAGCCTGGGATTGCAAAGAGTCCGTCTAGTGCATAACGACCTCCGTCCTCCAAGCGCCCCACAACGCGTTCATGCCCCCAGGCTGTTTATCATTCGTGTCTAACCATTCTGATTTTCAATGTGTGAGAAAAACCGAGGTTCAAATCAAATATTTAGACGTCTAATTTTGCATTCATTTCAGTCGACTGGGACCTCCGTAGATAAATACAACAACTTGGCGCAGTGATTGTATAATTGTATGCACACAAATATCCAGCTTGGAATGGTAATAATTTAGCCAAACTGAAATGCACAAAATAAACATGTCATTTAATAACCATTTTGGATATATTTCTACCAAAATCTCTCTCTCTCTTTTCAAAGACTGCCTTGATAATACAAATTCACACGATCGTTTTTTGTCTGTGAAACAAACGGAAACAAAAAGCAGCTAACACAACGGCGAGCGTCACATCTGTAATTGTAAAAACACACTTTGCAGCAAGGAAGTCAACAGTTCAAGCGATTAAATATATACGACTGATTAAATCTCAAAGAAAGGCAGCCTATTGGTCGGTGTTCGATGGCTAAACAAGCTAGCCCTGAATTCCAATTAGCTAATGTATAACGACTTAGCGCGCGCCGACAAATGGCGGGATTTTTTTCTTTACGCGCCATAAAATGTTATGTGCCGACGAAACTGAAGACCTCCCAGTGAAACACGCGCTTGTCTGTTTAAGTACTTTCAAATTCAAAATTAGAAATAGGTTTCTCGGCCAAGAAAATATGTATATGTGTGGTTTCCTTTGTTCAAAATTGCACATTCTGTCGAATTTGTGTCACACTAAAGAAAAACAAAGAAATTATTGTGTTGACTGCACATTCTGTTTCTCAGAAAAAGAAAGAGCAAAGAAATCATAAAATACCAGTCCACAGGATAAGTGACATGCATTGACATTTACAAAGCAGCAATTCCTTCAAAGATTTCAGAATATTCTACTATATATTTTAAAACCTGTGTGGATTTGCCCGCAAACAATTCCAGAAAAAAAAACACAACTAGCGACTATGAATGAAATCTGAAGTGTGATTAATTTGCCATTGTCTAAACTCTTAAGAGGTCCCATAATAACGTACATCTCAAAAAAAAAAAAAAAATCTGCGACTTGGAATCACAAATAAACACAGGGCGCTTTGAGCCCCACGATGAGCGGTCTGCTTGTTGACATACGCCATAGTAATCGAGAAGTATTACGTGCGTTCGCAGATGTTGAATAATTCATTAACATATCTATATTTGGCCTCGTCGTCCATTCATAATTGAGCCGCAACATGGACCGAGTGATTTTTTTTTACCTGTGCAGTGGAGTGCTGCGTATAGATTGCTTGTGATTAGAATGTGAAATCATACAACCTCGGGTCTCTTAAAAGCTTATTCTGATATTGTGGAGGACGGGGGAAATTGAGCAATCAGATTGAAACAAAGAAGAAATCTAGTGTTTGAATTTGAAGTAGAAAACGGGATGTGTTAAAGTAGGCTTTGGCATAGCACTGCGCATAGGCGTGCAAGCAATATGCTGTTGAATTATGTATAATATGAGGTCAAATGTAACAATGAGATCCTTTTTTTATTATTAGGTGACATGTGACTTTTCCCAACCAGTAAAGTATTGAATGGAGACAAATACACACATGTTTAAAATAAGGATCTTCAAACAACAGTGCGAGAGATTAGTAAAGCAAACGCTACATCTTTGCTAATATAATAGTGTTTGTTTTAGCTACATGCATCTTGATATGTGACAGTGCAGCATTATACTAAATTTCACTGACATCATTAGTATCTTACAATCTTTGTAAGCAACACAGAAAGCAAAACAGTTACATCAACTGCAAGACCATTCAAAGGCTCGGACAGACAATTGTTTTTAATGACCTATTATGCATGATTCAACACCGAGCTTTGGTAACGAACATAATTAGTGGCTCTCGAATTGCTAATCGCATATATGAAGTCGTCGTGACGACACGATAGGAACACTATCTCACTGCTTCAAAATTCAAAAAGCTTTATGTGATCGTAACAAAGATCGTGAAAATCTTTTTCCATTTCCGATTCGTGTAAAAGTATACGCCAAACCAAAAGGGCCTTTAAATCACACGGTCCTCTGAGCCGTGCGGGTAATATGGCTGGATAGTTTTCACTTTTTGACGTCGCTACGAATCCCCCAGCGACGATAGGCCCCGGCTCGAACCGCCAGCGAATCCCGTACTAGCCTATCGCTCCTCTCACCCCCTTTAAATATTAGTTAATTACCCTCCTCATGTCCCGGCGGGATTGTGGATGTTGGAGGAGGGCTAATAATACCCGGAGATTGTAGAGGCTTCGCATCCTTGATAAGTGATACTCGTTGCTTGTGAGTGCCAGGATTTGCTGTAGTATATGCGCGTCAGAGATTGTAAATAAATAGAACTGCGTGACCATTTTGTGTTTGTCTGCGACCACTGGTTCCCGCTGTCTGTGCATATTGACAATGATTAAACAGATGTTCTTGTACGCGATCACGGTTATTATCACGGCAAAGATCGTTGATTGTCAACAACTTGACACAGGACAACCTTGCTCGTTAAGTAAACTAAATCATACGCTAGCAAATAGTATTCTTCAAGGAATAAAGTTGTTAATTTTGAGTAGTGTCAGGTAATGAAGAGCCGGTATTCTGTTTAACATGTTAATGTTAAGAAATAAGTAAAAGGCTCTCAAATAAAAAAAACCAAAAATGAAATGTTTTAACAAGGATCCATTTTCATGGCGCTGATAAGCAGCAAAAATTGGTAAGCACAGAATGTTTTTTTTTGCATATAAGTAATATCAGTCTACCAACTAAAATGCCATGGGATTAGTAATGGTTTTGCCTTAAAAAAAATCATTTCCCAAATAATCTTCTGAGCAATATCTTCTGCTAGCACCGCCATGAAATTGGGCCACGAGCATGAAGGAGACATTGCCAAAACACTTTGTTGGAAACCACAGAGAGAGTGCTCGTACTTTTCAATTCATTGTTCTCTGTTCTAATGAGACTCTTTTCTCCATATTGAAGATGAAATCACAATTATATTGATGTGCAACAAGCAGTTGCATGCAATGCTTGACAACAATAATAGTACTCCTTTAGCTTTTCAAAGCTACAATAATGCCCAGTTTTCTGGTTTGAATGCAATGCAGGATAACATTTGTAAATCGCTTCGGAACCATGAGTAATCTCCAAATCATTGCAAAATATGAAACTGCTGAAGCATAAACAATATAAATGTGTATCACTGAAAATAGATCATTATTTCAAAGCTTGTTTTTCCCGCGCATGGCTAATGTTGCTTCACAATCAATAATACACAGTCACCATACCTGACATAAATTCAACTTCATCAGGTTTCCCTGTGTGTTTTAGTGCGGTGGTTATTATCTGCCCATCTGGCATCTCAGCCAAGGCAAGTTGCTGTGCATTTCCCCCAGTTAATCCTATGCAAGTTGATGTCGGTTCAAAAATTTGAATGTGACAGGCTTGCGCATAACAAATAAGATCCGAAAAATCAGTTTCTACTCAGGTAGAAATTCGCAATTGGTCAATGTGGTAAGAGTGTTTTTGATGATCGGTATCTCAATGTGAGACGTGCAAGAACTCATGCGATTAAACCAGTTCTAGTATCCAAAATGATAAATGCGGTGACATTCACCAGTTTGGATTCATCAAAATTTTGATCTTACTTCAAAAAAACATAGCAAACGTCCCAATTTCAAATTTTAATACAGATTTGCTGGAATCCTTTCCCAATTAAACAAAAATGTCATTCTTTCGAGACCACTTCAGACCCTTTCGATCGAGTGCCTTTCAATCATGGTACTGAGATTTAGCTTGCCAATGGGTCGTGAAGGTAAAATTTGCCGGGTCAATCAAGCGACCAGGCTTGGCTATTCCATTTCCCGAAACCGACGTCCCTCCAACCAACGCGATCGTCTAATTGTCTTCGATTATTTCTGCATGGCTCGACCGAATGATGACCAACAAAGAAAAAACCCAAAATGAACACCATTTCAATCTACGACAAAAATAATCATCATAAAATTATGACTCACGTGGTTGCTCAACTAAATTTACGACATTGCTTTCAATACAGCGTGATTCAAAAATTGTGAATACATTCATGGAAGACTTCTACCAATCCACATTCCCACTATTGTATACAGATTAAATTTTTTTTAGGAAAAATACTCATTCGATAACTGGAAAACTATATGGTGCATGCAGGTGTTTTAAAAAATGGTAAAAACGGGAGAGTTAAAGACTACCTGTTTGTAGCAAGATTAAGTCAATTAAGTAGAAGTGGGCTGCCACTGGGGTCCATGAGTACTGTCTGAGCTTGGAGCTGTCGTGACGGACGCAGTGGCGCCATTTTGTTTTTCGAAGAGGGATCTTTAATCAAATCGAAGATGTCGTGAATTGTTTTGGTTTCACCTATGCTGAGCTGTCTGGGCTCTTGGGAAAATCTTCGGAGTCGTCCAGCGCCTGTAGCAGCCCAATCTCATCGGATTTGAAGCAAGCAGACTCGTAGTGCTTGTTCAGATAAGACTTGAGAGCAAAGGTTTTGTCGCACCGTTTGCATCTGTAGTTCTTGAACGCCGAGTGAGTCTGCATGTGTGCCCTGAGGTTGGATCTATCGGCGAAGGCCTTACCGCAATGCGCACACCCGAAGGGCTTCTCACCAGTGTGGGAGCGCATATGTCCCTGCAGCAACCAGGGACGACTGAAGGATTTGTTGCACACGGTGCACTTGTGTTTGAGGTTGTGGGTGAGCACGTGCATAGCCAGGGCCGGCATACTGACGTACACCTTGTTGCAGATGTCACACTTTTTTGCGAAGTGACTCTCCAGGCTTCGGTGGGTCTGCTTGTGCCGAGACAGATTGCTGGACGTGGCGTACTCCTTACCGCACTCGTTGCAGCGATACTTGGGCCGGTTGGGGTCGATGGTGCCGACCGCCGCCGCCGCGCCCTCCCCGGCCCCGTTCCGCCGCCTCGACCGGCCATCTGTTATGAGAAACGCGTCGTAGGAGAGGAACACCTGATTGGGACTGGTGGGCGGACTCATGAACCGGCTAGGCTGCTGGTGGTGTTGAGTGTCGTGGGACTCATCACCCTGCTCCATCAGGTCTACGGACATGGGAGAGTCGCACAGGGAGGACGATTCGCAAACGGACGCCGATTCGCAGATGGACGAGGACTCGACATCCAGGACGGTTGTTCGTGTGGGCGTCTCTGGAGGAGACGCAGTTGGGGAGGGAATGATGTCATGGATGTAACCTGTAGATGAGGAAGACAAAGACAAACAACAGATCCTTCAGTGAAAACTCTTTGATGAATGCCAAAGTTTTGGTTGTCCACGAAATGCATTCATGTCGACACCTCTCCGATTGATCCCCACACTGGCGCATTCAATGTGGCGTCCTAACCTCGTCTGCACATGCTTTTCTCCACACGGCGTGGTATCGCTTACTACACTATGGACTTAATCCCTCCCATCCACCAAACAAAAACATTGACAAGTTTTGAGAGTTCCAACAAAGTGCTGGATGGCTTAATTGATAGATAATTTTTGATATAGTCCCGTGCAGTTTTATATTGTTGAGCTCAGCTTCGATCAATTTCTATTATTTTTCCCTGCAATAAAAATGCAGTATATGACGAGGATGCTTGAATACGTTTCAACAGAATAATGTGTAGTCTTACAAAATGATGGTAGTGTTTGTGAATTATACTCTTGTTTTGTACGTCGAGAATGTCCCCTTCTATAATAACCTCATTTCCAAATTTTACTCACTTTCAGTATCGAGGCTCCACTTGACTTTTGTAAATAAAAAAAAAATGGCACTTGTTTATGTCACCAATACACCATACCATATAAAAATTACCCCCAAATCAGTTCATTGTAAAGCGTTTAGGTATCTTGATGTAACAAAAATCCTTTGGAAATCACAAAATGTCTGTTAGAAATGTACCCACGCACGGTATAAGCATGGTATCATACGCTCAGGCCTATTGGTCCGTAACGAACGTTGATATCTAAGGTTGCATCATAATCAGATCGGGTGTCCTGTAAGAGTGGTTTACCGTGACTGCATGCAAGTGTTGTTTTCTGAACGAGAACATGTTTCTGCTTATGAGCCATAACTTAGAAAGGTATCAAACAATACTTGGGAGTTATCTCATCGAGAATATAGAACATCAGATACACTCTTCATTTGAAACCTTAACCTTGACTATTTTCTTTAAACCCAGTTTACCTGCTGGCTCTTTATTTCCCATAGCACGAAGGCCAGAGCCTAGGTAAAAAAACATAACATCTACAACTAAGTAAAACCCATTTTTATGTCATGGGTGAAAATCGGTTCCAAAAAAAAATTCTTTAATAACAAAACATCACAAACAAAAACAGAATAATGTAAAATTCATCTTTTGCATATTTCAAAACGACAAACGCAATAAATTTATTGGTGCCTTTTTGTGAAGAAGAAAGCCACTCACGCACAAAGAAACATTTCAAGCTTTCAACACATTTATATTCAATATTTTTTTGGCTGGCTCTGGAATGATTAATAGAAAAATGTGCCAGAACAATGAAAAGTTAGGGCTTTTCAAAATGAGTTTATTCAAACTTCTATGGAAAAACAAAAAGGTTTGATCACATCAGAGAGCTGCATATGAATGATGTAATTGACGAGATTTCAACCTGTGATATTGTTTTCGGCATGCGACGATGATTATGTCTTTCTGAAACTGTCTGCAATAACTTTCCCAGCATTTCCCGTCCACCGCCCCCCCCCCCCCCCCGTTCCAGGTCAGGTGTCTTGATTAAAATGTGATAGATTCCCCCCGACATCGTGTGGGTGGATAGCAACACATGTTGCTGGTGTATCCGTTGTTTTTTCGTCTGTTAGTACGATTAGAAATTTGTCATTTTGCCGACGTCAATTTCCGTCTCGCAGTGACCTTAAGAAGATATTGAGAACTAGGGCGCATCGCCGACGACCGTGGGCATAAAACAAATTGGATTTTGCAGAAAAGCTCGATAATACTAAAGGGTATGTATCACCTATTGTGTCCGCTATGACAAAATTCTATCAGTAAATAGTTTTTAAATATTGAAATATACTACTGCAACGGTGAATATGACATTACTCACCGTTGAATATACCACCTATTCCCTTTGCATTTCCAGCATCAAAATAATAATACTGATATCTGCAAAAACATACGTCGTAAAATATATATTCGAGATTCGGGTACAGATTGCTACTAGAACACAATTAAAACACTCAAACTATAATTACGATTTGCCATTTGATAACTGTCTAATCTTGTTAATAGATGTAAATATCCTGAAATTCAAAGTTGAAAACATGTTTCCTATGCAATGACCTATCAAGATATTCGATCCGAGTTTTCCATGTCAAACAAACAAATGAATGTTTGTCTGAAGTTCGTTCTTTGTTTTCTTCAAATAAACACCTGCTGCATACCACCAGCACAGATAATGCTTTATTTATTTGCTTGTTCAATTTAATTGAAAAGAAATCACGACTGCGATCAAATAACCTGGAATTCAGCCAAGTGTACACAGGTGTTAGATTTTCAACATGTTGAGCCTTTTTATAGTCTACAAATCTTTCCGCACCTGCTATTTGTTTGAAAACGGATACGGCCGACTTTCATAAACTACAATCTAGTCGATCGACGTTTAAAGGTTTCGTACACTCGTATACCGCTCCGTAGAATCTTGTTCAATTTAAAAATTACTTACAAAAGCAGGATTGCGGTGAAATAAAAAAGAGCAGGCAGCGCTCTCTCGATAAAATAGGGCGACATCTGCCGCGCAAATTGCCATTCGCGGTTGAGTAATCAACAATCTTTTCGCCTTCCATTTGGGTGTGATTCGTCACAGTATCCCGCGCGGCTGTTGTAACGTCTAGTCACCATTACGGAGAAGAGTAAACAATCTAATGGAAGCTACTCTAAAATAAAATCACGAAGGAAGAGCCGGACAGAAAAAAAAATAGGACTTTCAGATGCACAACGAGAAACTGGCACCGCGAGCTGAATATAACAAGGATGATGAAACTGAATCTTATCGCCTTTTAAAAGAAAACGAGTCTCCAAAAATCTGCTCATGTCGGAGTGACTTTCCCCCGCACGCGCTATGTACTTTGTTCCGGGCCATTGCCAGCCTATACCCCGTCTATCCCGCTGGGCCGAGCAATGACAGGCACGTAGAGCGCCTTGTCCAAAAAGAAAAGCCTGGCCAATGATTGCCTAAGCTGCCTCGCCGGCCATTTCGATAAGAGGGTTCTTATGGCGTCTTGCTATGCTATCTAAGGTAGAAGTGAATGGCATGCGCGCAGTATACTGAGTGACGGAGGTTGCGGTCGAATTTGAGCCTAGCGCATTCGCAATCTTATATATCTTATATATCTTCTAGTGCCAGTACGTGCTGTGCATAATTGGGCCCAGCTACTTGTTGAATGCATTTATAGCTAACCCCAGGCGGATTTTGTTCCTCATCGTCTAAGATTTTATAGGTGCTTCGCTCGCGCTCTTCCTCCCGCGTCTATAAGGCCCTGCTGACAAATCTTTAAAGGTCTTGACTGTGTCGCCAGCGCGGAGACGCTATCTCTCCGGGCAACAGGATGCAATTCAATATTAGGAAAAGACGGGAGGAGAGGAGGCAGGGGGAGGGAGAGACGTGAGAACTCAAGAAAAGCATCCTAAAAGGTTCTCGCGTCATGTTGTTTGCTCGCGGGAGGGCAGCGTTGGTTCACCTGTGGTGGAGACAGGCGAAACATCGCTTTAGCGCTGGGGCCTGGGGACGGAGAGGAACCGCCTGCACAATATCGGCTAAAAACAGAAGCTCTCAGGGAATGGAGCAGTCACTTCATGAATTTGCACAACGGTGCATCGGGCGACATAGCCGAAGTTAATATACAAGGCCTCTAGGCCGATAATACCCAGTGTGTGTTTTTACCATGGCAAAATGCAATACTGTCAAACTTGTGTATAAGATATAAAAGATGCGAGGCATCTGCTCAAGAAATGAAGCAGTCACGCTGGCTAGGCAAGTTGTTGCGCTTCACATCCCAGTAGTAATAAAAGAAAACTAACCATAATGATATAACCACTTAAAGAAAACAGAGGTTTTTTTCTGACTTACCATTATTAAGTCTCACGCTGACTCCGTTGATGGTGCATCCCGGGGAGATCGGCGTTGTGGCCTCGATGGAAATGTCCCGGGGAAACACGGCCGACGTGTGTCTGGTTTTCTTGACCAGAAATGAGCGAGGCATGATGATGGCGATTTGTAGGCTAGGCTGGCTGAGATGTTCTCCTTGAGTGTTGTCGATGCGCGGGAAGGAACTAAGATGGAGAGGAGGTGTCTTCAAGATGCTTTGCGCTATGCTAAGAAGTGTGTGTATGCACTGACTTCTCAGTGTGTTACTCGTCTCCACTCGTGTCAAACTGACTGATTCCGCGTCTGTTCCTGCTGTTACTGATGAAGACGATGATGATGATGATGTCGTGTGCCTATTGGATGTCGTGCGTGCCCAGTATTGCGCTCTCTCTCCTTCGCCGGTGATTGCAGCAGGTGTCTGGCGTTGATTCTTACCTCCTCGAGTCCAATCTATCAACGGGGGCCTTACGGGGGCTAGCTCCGTCAGAAAACCCCCCGCGTGCACACAGTCAAATTAGCCTCGGCTTCAGGAATAATGACCAGCGTTGCGGATCAGTAAATATTAAATATTAGGGATGGAGAGCTGTTGGCGTCTGTGCCGCAAGTGCGTGGACTTGTTACGCAGTCCCTGTGATGTTAAGAGTCCCACCAGTTGACTGATAGAGAGTCGTGAGTCCATTAGTGGAAGGTTGTGCTCCTAAACCAAACCTGCACCGAACTTCTTTAACAGATGATCACTGATGAGGCGATGGAAGTACACGGTGCCGCAGCGCCGTTTTGAGTCGCCCCACTCTTCAGCCGTTGACAGTCCAGTGTCATGGACCAACAAATGGCACGGGCCGGGGTAAGATAGCCCTCTCGATCTGCCTCTCACTGAAAGTATGCGTGCTCGCGCAATATAGCGGCACTTATATAGCACTTGAGGGTTACAATGACTTGGGTTTGTGCGCCGCGCGCGAGACCCGCACGTGCCGCTAATGAGATGTCACGGGCACGGCGCGCGCCGTCACTCGCACCCGCCAATCAATGCCCTCCGCGCCTCCCCATTGGCCCGTTTGAGGCAACGCGCAGAAGACGTGGGCGGAGCTTAGGTTTCAGGGGACAAAGTAAAGACAAGTGCAGAGAGAGGGATGAAAAGACTAATGCGATTATTCTACTGCGTAGATTGATTGATCCTCGCGACACACACAAGTGACAAAGTGTAACACACAGGGCCCCGTGCGCTGTCTGTGCCCCATGCATGATCCACTGCGGTCTAGAAACCGTGTAGGTCCACAGATGGCACGAAATATAACCTACAAGGTCCAAGTATTGTAGGACAAAACAAACCCCTCAATGACAGAACCCAACAAGTTGTTTAATTTATGAGTTGGCACAGGTCATGATCAGCACCCAGTGTCTCGTATCTTGGATAATTACGCTGATGAACATGGGAATCATACACGAGTGGCCATTACACCAAATGGAAGACGTGATATGGAATCGTTCACTCGAGCCGGCAGTATATATCAAGAATAGATCTAACACGCGCGCGGTTTCAGCGGCAGGGTCGCGGTGTAAGAAAAGACGTGGACAAGAAACACCTGTCTCGGCAAACAAATGCGTATCGGAGAATCGATTAGGTAATTGACAGCCGCCCGGGCGATGTTTCGCGTTAATATGAACTTCTCTCCAGCGCCCTTACGGGTTACGAAATGTATGCACGGACAATATTGACGTGCTCACTGTTACACGTGCAGTTGGCCATAAAACAAAATTAAAACCAAACTAAATAATAAAAACGCCAAAACAAACACCGCCATCTTAACAAAGAAAAAGACCCCCAAAATATTGACATGGAATGTTGAAAAGATATATTCAACGACAGTGCTTAGAGTCCAGGTTTTTTCCATTTATGATCAGGAGATTGGAAACATAACTGTTCCTTATGCAATGATGATTATCAATTTGACTTGTAACATGTACTTAATTTGTAATTAAAAGAATCATGAACATTTTTTTGATAGAAAACACTTGAGGCCTACATAATTATAGGGGGGCTTCTTAGCTTTGAACAAGTTATAAGAAATAATAATACATCATAATATATTTAAACCTGTTACTGTGTCAACAATAATGATTTTTTTAAGACCGAAAGCACAAATAGAAATGCCTAACTCCATGGTTAATTAACACAAATAAACTACATTATTCAGCCAATCTACTGATGCGAGCTTTGACTGATTCAATGATCGATAAATGTTCCACCTTCAACACACTCATTACTAGCCTGTGCGACCAAACACAAATGTCTTTTCCATTGCGATAAAAACACATGACAGACACCAAACCACGGCTTCTGCTTGCAATGCATTTGTATCGCAAGAGGGCGCACGACACAATTTTCACTCGCAGAAGAGCTTCAATTTAGAAGCGAATGAAATGAATACATGTAGGCCTACACCGTTTATCTCAAAAAAAGATAATTTAGATCTCAAACATATATTTGAGCAAAATCAGAATCAAGTTACAGAGATGTAGTTCATCTGTCCTATTTTTCTCAAATAACGGGAAAATGACAATGAATATTCGATCCTAAACCTCCTTTACACGAGCTACATATTTTTTATTATTATTAATTTTTGGGTTCAACAATGATCGATTGCAGACTTGTCATTTGCAGCAACATGTACACCGGTATCTTAAGCGAGACACTCTCGCTTCCGACCAGTCGCACGATGACGTATTTATAAGTTAATGAATAATTAACAGTGAGAAATGCAACCGGTAGGTTGGTCGTGTTTTTTTCATCGTACAGTTGGTGTTTTCAACGCAGCAAATTACGTCCCTGCGGAAGAAGGGCACGTTATATTATTCGTTACAATGTGGCCTAAATACATGATGTATTTGTTTTTAGAGATCTGAAATGTCTAACTTATTTCTTGAATCTAGAAATATAAGTCAACGAACCTGATTCCTTAATTTTCCATCACATATTCAAACTAATGTTAATTTTAGTCACATCACGTCTGATTAAGGTTGCTCTATGGTTTCTGAAATGTAAAATGTTTGTTCGTGTATCTTGTTCATATTTGTGTTCTTGATGTGTGTGACGGTGAACCTTAAATATCTGCAATTTCGTTGAAGTATCTAACTGGGTCATAATAAACAGTACAACTGATTATTTCCTTTTTTTTTGGGTGTGTGACAGTTAGCACAAAATGAGCTAGTGTAGTGTTGCCATTGTGGCATTGCATATATCCCGATATAGTATTAGCAATCAATGTCACCACATTTTTTTGATATGCTGTATACATGTTTATTCTTAACAACAACCAATGAACATTATGATGCAGGCCTTTATTTTTTCCTAATTGATGGACTGGGCCGAACTACACGGCCAAAAAGCCCCACCCGGCCAACAGGTGTTCTCAGCGCGGCTCCTTTCCTAAGCTCAAAATATCACATTCTGCCCGCCGTCTCTACGGAAACGGCCGCTTGCACGAGCACGAGAAAGCCTGGGCAAACATCATAAAAATATATCGAGTGCTTTCAAGGCTCGGCGGGAAAGATTTCAATTAACCCTCGGAACATCATTATTAATAAAAGCAGGGAGGAGAGAGCACTGGAGAGCACACCTTGGCAATAATACACGTTTTGTTTATTGCATTGTTTCGTCGTCAGCGCGGCCTGAGCTGTTTTATATCAAGCAGCTTCATTGTTTAGCCAAGGCTTAAAGGGACTGTGTATATGCTTGATCTTTTGATGGAATATTTAATTTTGTGCGCGAAGCCAGAATTTAAAGTTTGCGCCTGAATGGATGGGTTTTTAAGACGAGATGGTCACTATCTGGGTCAGGAATTAAGAGACCTCTATATAGCTATACAGAATGGAATGTAAAGACGACTGTTGTCTTTTGCTGAAGAGATAAATATTAAACATGCTGTGATGTCGACGCCATTAACGACACCATTTCAGTTTATCTTTTATTGGAATCTCTGATGGTGTGCCGCCAGATGAATTTTGGAGATTAGATTTTCACGCGAAAAGCGGTTTTCCTGTAAAAAAAAACGTCCCCGTGCCAGATAGAATCTAAACTTGTTTCCGATGATATTTCGGTCTATATACGATATTATGCAATGATTATGCGACCTCCTTCAGGATTCACAAATTGTCTCTGTGATTTCCCAGTAGCGGCCCGGCTGAAAAGTGGGAATTAAAAGACAAAACACATGGAAATAGATCGTACTATCACGCCCTCTAGAGGGAAGGTGGCTCCTGCATTATTTCCCAGGAGAAACAACAGACACAGGATGTAGTCATCATGTCTGGAACCTTGAGGGCAAGATAATGTCAAAGCGCTGATGTCTTCGAGATCATTGTTACCAGACCATTATTTCTGTACTTATCTTTCATGCGAGGCAGCGTGCGTACGCGTATACCGCGAATGACCAAAACGGAGCATATATCCCGAAACATTACAATTCCAGACCAAGGGCGGATCGGTGTGGGGGGGGGGGCAACGGGGGCCATGCCCCCTCCCCCCCCCCCCCAAAAAAAACCCCCAATTTTGAAAAAAAAAATTAGGTGACGTCGCATTAAAGGCAGGCACCGCGTACACCACCATCTTTCCTCAAAAAGATTTGGTTAAAGTGGTCAGAAACTGCCTCAGATTGCACCACAGAGCACCTAGAATCCCAAAAATTGTCGGGCCCCGAACCCTTCGCCGTAAATTTTGGGACCCGCTTTCTAGGGGACCATAATTTGTTTTGGCCCCCCCCAAAAAAAAAATTTGTGTTCTGGATCCGCCCCTGTTACAGACACTTTTATTTATGATCATTCAACTCCCAAGTTTTGTTGCATTTTAATCTGATGTTACAGTTTTTAGGAATAGTATAATGCGATGCAAAAATTCTTTTCCGAAGATACAACTAAGCAACGGAGTGTAGGAATGTATGTCTTGGCGCACGTCGTGCTTAACCTTATTTTCTCACAGTGCTTTAAGCGATTTTCATTGGACAGTTGGCGCACGTGATGCAGCCATTCGACTGCGCATGTCCCATTCCCAGACTTCTGAAGGATCACGGGAATTTCTTGAATGAAACTTCGTGTGAATTTTCGTCCATGGGTTTTACTTTGTGTACGACAGATCTGAATGTTATAAACATTTACACATTCTCAAAAAAACAAACACCCCAACAAACAAACAAACACCTCCATCTGTTTTGCTGACACACACTGCAAATACGACTTGTTTTATTACTTAGATTTAAAGGGAAAGAACTTCTAGCTTTACTTTCATATTTCTATTTCCCCTAATATCGCACGACTGTCTACAACTGGTTTTAAAATGGCTGTATGTTCATCAGAGTAATTGTATCAGACCTACTGTGAGTTTTTGACGCATGCGTAGTACGAATGCATGCATGAACAGGTCACTGATGTTCATTTGCATTCGGGGTGAGAATGAATGAAGTTTTTGTTATATTTATGAAACACTTATGCAAACATGTGAAAACTTTCCACTTAATCACATAGACTATATAGGGTAGGTACTCTCATTTGGTTGGGGTGCGCGAGCCCTCTTTTGATCAAAAGATTAATTATTATGTATTGCATCGTTGTCTTAATGTCATTACACGACTGTATCACGAAATAGGCAGCCTATTTTAGACATCCGACCTTGGACAATATATTTTTCTTAGATATCCAAAATTAAAGGTGTTTTTTTATTTTTTTTATTTTTTTTTTTAAATTAAATCAACCTTGATGGTCTTTAACATTAACGTTTGAATTAATACAGAAGTTTTACTCGGATTGGTTTTTGCTATATTTAGTGATGACTCTAAAAAGTCCAACATCTCTAAGGTACCATTACGTTAGCATCTAAGCAGGCCATATTTGGCTGATCATTTTTCGTTATGAGTGACCGTAAAATTTAATCGTCAAATCGTAAACATGTTTGGTGGTCTAGTTGAGTTATTTATAAACTGGCAATGCATGATTCGTAAAGGCAAAGCGTTGGTAACCACATGTGGATTCGAGATAGGGTTGTTATAGCTAGCATTTAGACTGTGGCAATCCGAAGTATTTCTCGTCCAAGCTGTCCCGTTGGCGGCCGAAGCACAGCGCCCCCTGTCGGTCACACTCGCACATGTAGGCCTTGCAGTCCGCGTTGATTTTGTCCAAAAACGTGTATTCATCTTCGGCCTCTGTTGGTGTAAAAATGAGGGGATCAGTCTATCAATTTCTGGTCCTTTTGAAAAAAAAAAAAATGAAGAGTTACTCTGAATTTAACCAATACATCCATATTGCCATGAACAAGATCATGAGCGTTACGGGGGAGGGGGAGAGCACCCACCAGCATAGCGATGAATCTTTGGCCGTGGGAAAAATGGAAATGGGGAGGGGGTGCTGTTCAAACTTTTTTATACCTATGTAAATGGATAAGGGTTCAAGGGCGAATCCAGGGGGGCCAAAGGGGGCCAAAGGGGGCCATGGTCCTCCGTAAAAAACGGACCCATTTTTTTTTTAAGTGACGTCGTAATAAAGGCAGGCACTGCGTACACCACCATCTTTTCCTCAAAACAAATTCGTCAAAGGCCCGAACCCCACGCCTTTCTTTTTGGGACCCATCTTGGGGACCAATCTTTTTATTTTTGCCCCCCCCCAAAAAAAGTTGTGTTCTGGATCCGCCCTTGTCAGGGTCCCTTCCTGGCAGTTTCTATTGTCTAATAGAGAAAGAACAATTTTAACTTGGACATTTTTGTGGGTTTGTTTTTGCATTCAATGGGGGACGTTGAACAATAGAGGACAATAGGGTCCACATTCCCGAAGGTCCATGATTGACGATCGTGTACAAAACATATGGGATGTCCACCTAGAGGGTACAAACAAAAGAGGGACAATAGGGGGTCTACAATTGAAGGCGTTTACACACTATTGTGTGGGGAGCAACACACAAGGATAAAATCCAGTACTTACTGCATGAAATCGTGCACGAATCTGGGTCACCCTTCACCGCCCTACTGGCGACAAAGTCGTAGTCGACAAGGTACTTGTCGAGCAGCGCACAACCGTTGTCGTTGGCAGCGTCGTAGCAGGCATCGTGTTCCTTACAACACCTGCGAGTGAGGAGTACCGTAACAGTAATTAAACGGTCAGTTCTTTCATATTTTTTACCGAAATGTCGGTCCTTTTTATGGTGTCATGGGGGAACAAAAAGGTAAGGAACACAGTAGTGACCATATTTCAGTAGCCACTGTGAATTTATGTATCATCTTCCCACTTTTCGAATGTTCCTCCCTTGAAGGGAATTTTATCTTTGTTACTTTAGGAGCTCTATGGTGGCCTCTGCACCGACAATTTAAAATGGTTAAAAAGCCACAAAAACAAAACAAAACCAAAAACCCACGATAGCCTGAAAGTTGTTGCTCTATTGGCATGGTTGATGATTGGTCGTTTAGTTTGAGGTCGCTAAGTGACATCGGTCTGCCGGTCTGTCTGTCGGTACATTGGTTGGCCGGTGGTCAGTCAGTCGGCCGGATAGCCAGTCGATCAGTCGGTTAGTCAGTCGAAAAGTCAGTTGTTCTGTCAGTTGGTCTGTCGGTCGGTTTGTCGGTCGGTCGGTTGGTTGGTCAGTGGGCCAATGGGTCGGTCAGTCAGTCATAGTCGGTTAAAAGGTCAGTCAGTCGGCCAGTCAGTTTGTTGTTTGGTCAGTCGGTTGATTGTTTGACCTGTATTCTCACTCACTGATCAGTGGGGTCCACCGGCACGCCGTCCCCGCCCAATCCGCAGTAGCAGCCGTAGCCGTTGTATTTCAGGAACGATGACAGAAACCATTCCTCGGTGGCACATACGATCATTTCGTTGAACTGGATCACACTACGGGGCGCCTGAGCTATAATTACAAAAAAATAAACACGATGAAAGACCACTTTTATAACTCAAAACAATATCGACAAGAGAAGAATCGAAGAGGGCTGAAGCTACTCCAAGTGACCAGTGTTTCTCACATTATTTACAAACCATATAAATTATGTAGCAACTTGGAATTTTAAAGACTATTAGAATATCGATTGTCTGAATATTCGAATATCCGACGGCCACGTGACATACATGTGGATTTTGAATGACGCCCATTAGACAACATGGACTCGAAATGCTATAGTTAAAGGTATGGACACCATTTGCAAATGTTCAAAAATGAAACCTTCAAAATTGTGTCAATTACCTGTAACATTAAACTAGATATCAGAGATGTATTTTACACCTGTTGCTTGCATTTATAATTGATCGAGAAGTGCAACCTACCCAGTATCCCATTGTGTTTTTGCTTCATCTTCCCGAAGCAGGATGCCACAGCGATCACGGCGGCGAAGTACAACAGGAACTTCATCTTGGAGGAGCTGAGAAACCGTCACAGGACTTGAAATGGCAGCAAAGAGCGAGTGCTGACGGAGTAGCTCTGCTCATGGAATTTATACAGTTTCTAGTTTTTTATGGTCTTTTCGTTCAAGAAAGAAGTTATCAGCTTCGTTTGATAAAAAACAGAGGGATATCGCGAGCGTGCGCTAGACTCGCATCGATAAGAATTATTAAATGTATCTACTTTTACGTCTCTTTGTTTTTGAATTGTAACGAATGTTGCCTCACGTGCTCCTTATTGCGTGGGACCAATGCATGTGGTCGATTTGGGGAGCGGAGGATCCATGGAGGACAAAAACAAAAATAAACGATAAGTTTCTGGTGAAATTTGAGGTTTATTCAACATTATCACAAAAAGCAACAAATGATTTTGAAATGTATACACTGCCATATCAGCTCGGGGGTGGGAAGAAACAGATCCCGTTTTTTTTCCCGGGGAAATCTCACGAGAGACTTCATGGGAATCTGGCTCCGCGCATGCCCATAACCCACTAATATTTCAGTTAGTAACCGCTCTAGCGAAAATTGATAACATTGTAGAAAACATAATGTTCCCCTTTTTTGGCTCCAAACTTGTGGACAGCATGTTGTACACGTCAGCAGAACTTCTGACACTCATGAGTTCACACTTTTGTCCTCGTGGGCCTTATGGTTGCAGACCAGTAAATCGGTCCGAAATTGCCTACGCCGGCCAAATCACGATTTGCATGCCCTCAAAATCTTCAGTATTTGAGCATGCTGTGGGCCATGAACTTGAGGGTTTGTAAAAAATATGGGTGGAAGCCGTGCAAAGGACTGTGAGCTTGTAGTTCCGTTCAATTTGGATGAAATTGAGGCCCTTAAAGCGCTCTATTTTGCAATGGAGTGTAGGCATCGTTTTTCAACATGGCGATGGGCTTCAGGACTATTTTCAAGGGTGATCATCTTCGGATGGAAATTTCTCCTAAAAGTCATCAGTTAACCCCCCCCCAAAAAAAAAAATTGAAAAGAAAATGAAAGACGATGAAATAAGCTTTAATTTGATGTCTGTCTCGAGCACCTTGGAGAGTTGTGAGTATTTTTCTGAAGTGTGATCATTTACCATTGGGGTCTATGGAAGTTTTTTTACTGGTCTCTAACCCTTATTCACGAGTCGGCCATATTGAATTTAAAGTGAGGTAAAACTTTCTCCATGTTTAGAACTTGCGAAGAGAAATGAAAGCAATGACATTAAGTTAATTACACGTTATACCAGTCTGCTCTAATGAATAATTTTAAATTTTTGATTAAACATATCCTAATGTTTTAAGCCACAAAAATGAAAGTTACGCTATAAAATAGTCTGGCACCATCCCATTCGACAGTTCATAATTAATAAAATACATGCAGGGAACCCGAGCAAAATGACTTTCTCGTGAATGAGGTCCATGACAACAGTTCTTTGTCTTCTACCTAGCCTTTCTTGACAAGGGGGTGATAGCGCTGAATGATACTAATTGTGTCGACTTAAAGGAATTTTCTAAACTGTTCATCGACTGCCTTTTTTCTTATTATGGTTAGCCTACTTTTTAAGTCAGTTAATTTAAATGTTTGTCCGGGTTTTTACACAATTGCCCTCAAATTTTATTTAAATTCCAGTGGAAGTTTACCATTTTTCCCCAAACACGGTCTGATAGAATTCATCCACTTTTGACTGTGATCTTATCTAGATCGCTTATAGAAAATGCTGTTTGGATTTATTTGTAACAAAATGTTGTGAAAAGATGATGGATTATTTTCACGTTCTGTCTGGTCCGTGACAATGATTGAGATTGCCAAGTTATCAGATGTCGTGTCTAGCGGGTGGAACTCGAGTGAGTTCTATTTTAGAGTTTCACCCCAAATTTTTTTTTTATTTTTTATTACTATGTATTTTTCTATATAGCAATACGTATACAAATTGTGTTTCAATGAGATATTGAGCGAAAAATTGGCACTCGTGTAAATAATAGTAATATAATATTTACTGCCGGTATTCAAAGTTCGAATTATTTGCGACCCAACAATAAGTCAGTGTTTGTAGGCCTGGACGTCGGGTTCCTGCCTTCGTGGGGGGATTTGTGTTTAAAACAAAAATAAAGCTTTTCAGAAGGTAAGGGCGCCAAAATGCATTTTTTCCCCGTTTGTATAAAACATTTAATAATCAAAATTCATAAGGGGATATCGAATTGACAATTAGATGTGGAACTTTAATTTGGTCAGTAGGCGGTTATGTAATTAGAAAGCGTAATATTACAGCAGGAAAATAATTGTGACACTATTCGTGTGTTGTACTGATAGAAGTGCAAGCAAATCATTTATATTAATAAACAGTGCAAGGTGAATGCAAACCCTGGCCTCCGGGGGAAAAAAATATTGCAGGTCATTGCTGTTCTAATGGTTTCCCAGGTAAAATCCCAAAATGATACACAAATCAGCAAAATCCTTGGAGGAATGTAACCCATCCTCAAGCTCGGTTGTACTTACATTACATAGCACAAAATGCATGGAGTTCCACCTGTTGAGGAACGTCCCTTTCTTCATCCACAGCCAGCCGCACTTAAGCGTATAAGATAATGTCAAAAGCCATGGGCTTAGTCTCTGGGGGTAGGGGGTATTTTTCCCCAAAGTTTTTGAGGGGGGGGGGGGGCATTGGATACCTGTTAGGTATTTGATCTGAACAGAACAGATATCTTTCCAATGGAGAGGAGGGATTATCTTTCAAATTAGCGATGGGCTTCAGGACTACGTACTTTTAGGTATGATTATATTTGGAGGGGAAAACACCCAAAGTTCTAACAGTTGAACAGAAAGTGAAAGAAGGTCAATCGAGTTTTAATTTGTTGTCTGTCTTGAACACCTGTGAGAGATGTATTTCCCCCGATTTGTTTGCAATGTGGGATAGATTATTGTCACCGCAACATTGAATATTTCTGTACATGCCTTATATCCCAAGAGACTTAAAGTAGACTCAGTGAACGACCAGAGACAGAACATCCTGAATACTTATGATACCAGATACTTTAATTTAAAAAAATAAACATTTCTAATACTTTGTTGCCTTTTGATCCGAAAATAAAGTTTGAGGAAATAGCAATGCAATGCAAGATCCAATTTTGGAAAATACAAGCAAGTAAAGGACGGGATTGCACAAATCCACTGCGCATGACTGTGTTTAACCTGGATGTCGAACATTGCTCTAAGTGATCCTCATTGGACAGCTCGTTGCACGTGATGCAGGTGTTCGACTGCGCATGTCTCATTTCCACACTTATGAAGGATCATGGGAATTTCTCGAATGAAACCTGTTCGTCCTCTGGATGCGTATATTTTGCCTGTGGGTTTTACTTTATACAATAAACATATCTGAGTTTTGGAAACTTCTCCAGCAAAAAGTCCTTTGCGTAAATGACGCAAGCATATAGACATACGAATTGTCTTTAAAAAAAGGCAGATACCACGAGAACGAAGTTCACATTTACTTTCAATATTTTATTGTCGCACGTATCGTTTCCAGATTTCAATAAAGTCTATTGATTTAAGTGCCATCTTGAATTCCTGCTTGTTGGGTGATGAAGTTTCTAAATCAAAAATCTGATGCCTACAACTTTGTCAGTATTTTTAGTAGATCATAAGTGTGTTGATTACTTGTTGGTCGAAAGATTGCCATCAGTCAAACTGATTTTGGTAAAATAATATCAAGCTTGTTATACAGAGTTATTTTTTTCAAACTTGAGTGCATGAGTTGCCATGAAATATGGCGACAAAAATATGGATGACACCGCTAGCAGTTAGACTGTGACCATCCGACGTACTTATCGTCCAGGCTGCCTCGTTCGCGGCCGAAGCAAAGCGCCCCCTGTCGGTCGCACTCGCACATGTAGGCCTTGCAGTCCGCGTTGATTTTGTCCAAAAACGTATATTCATCTTCGGCCTCTGTTGATGTAAAAAGGAGAATAGCCTTTTAATTTAGGATCCTACTTAAAAAAGGGAGGGCCTTCAGTTAATTTGAATGTCACCAATACATCCAGACATCGCCCAACCATTGAACATGACCATAAGCGTCGCCTTTTTTGGGGGTGGGGGGGGGGGGTGGGGTGGGGGTGGGAGGGTGGAGATGTTGTGAAAGTATCAACCAATAGCATTAAGAGAAATCATCGGCCATGACAAAAATCTTAAAAGGTAGAGAGGGGTCGCATCATTAACGCCAAGGGCGCTGTATCAAATACCTAAATTCCAATGAAGTTTTTGACGCCTCAGTACTAAAATTAATAATAATATATTGCTCCTTTAGTCTGTTTAATACATAACAAAACTGCCTGAAATCACAAAGTGTCGTAAAAAGATGGAAATTGACAACGATATTCTTCATTAATGCCTCATTTTTGTGCGCTACAACCTTCACAATGACTGTATGAATCTTGATCAAATGACCTATTTTGTACTGGGAAATCGTGTATGCGGCTGTTACCACTGGAGAGTAGGCCTACATTGCTTTTACCTCATACACAAGCTAAGAGAATTACAAAGCAATACTCACTGCATGATATGGAGCACGAATCTGGGTCATCCTTCACCGTCCTACTGGCGACAAAGTGGTAGTCGACAAGATACTTGTCGAGCAGTGCACAGCCGTTATCGTTGGCTGCTTTGTAGCAAGCATCATGCGCCTCACAACACCTGCATGTGCATACATGGAAGTAGTACACTAATGTTAAATTTGCATATTTTTAAACTGAAGTGACGGAACTTTTTACGGAGTCATAATTTTATGGGGGGGGGGGTAAATTTAAATAGCTTTTTCAAATTAGTTATCAACGTTCTGCTGTTCTGAATATATTACTTTTTGTGTGGAATAATGCTGGGGTTTTTATTTCAATGACCTTGGACGCATAGGCCTAATGGATGCGATTAAAAAATAATAATAATAATGATACAGTCAGTAATGAGCCTATCAAATGTCCCCCCCCCCCCGCGCTGCCCCAGGTCCGATGTCGGGATTTGGTCACGCTTTTCATGCCCCAGGGTGGGGATTTTGGTCACTCGAATTACATTGTTAACATTGGCGTACGAAAGGCGGGCATGGTCAGGGATTGTCACTTAAATTTTGCCCGAGGTGTGGGTATTTTGTCACTTCAAAAGTGACAATCCTCACGTCTTGGGTGGGGCAGCCCGGGGGAGGGTTGGGGGAAACGATTGATAGGCCCATAAGCCTACAGTAAACGAGAGCCTTTCACCTCTGCTGCTCGGCTGGCTTGAAGTCATGATGGGTTAAGTAACTTAAGTTGGTTGGTGGGTTAGTTTGTTGGTTTAGCCTTTCACGTCGTTAGTTTGATGGGTTGATTGGGGAGTGGGTCGGTCAGTCAGTCCGTCGGTCTGTCGGCCGGTCAGTCAGCTGGTTGGCCTTGGTTGGGCGCACGACTAGTTGTTCGATCGTCGATTAACCTCGGTCGGTCGGTAGATTGTCCGTTTGGTTGGTCGGTAAATCTTATCGATTGGTAAGTTGTGAGCAGGTAGGTTATAGGCAGGTGGTTTGGCGGGCAGACAAGAAGAATAGGTAGTTGGCAGTTACAAGGATTGACCAATCGATGTTTGTCGGTTGGTCGGTCGGTCGGTCAGTCGATCGGTCGGTGGTTTGTTGATAAAGCCGTTATAGTTAACGGGTAGCTAATCCTGTTTATCACTCACTGATCAGTGGGGTCCACCGGTACGCCGTCCCCGCCCAATCCGCAGTAGCAGCCGTAGCCGTTGTATATCAGGACCGACGAGAAGTACGATTCCTCGGTGGCACATACGATCATTTCGTTGAACTGAAACACACTACGGGGCGCTTGGGCTGTTTGGCAACAAGAACAACACAATATTAAGAATCTATAACGAATCAGACAAAACCGAATAAGAGGGTATCGATTCCGGCCACAAAATGATTAAAAAAAGAGGATACTTTTATCGATAATAACTTTAATTGATACGCTTCCGCACTAAAGTTGTTTTTCATTTTTTTGTATTGGTTTTAAAAAGAAAATGAGTAAAGAACGGTCTCAAGTAAAATCAGTTACAACTTGCGCCTTTTGGCGGCAACTCTGGCAACGTTACATGCCATGCATAGTGTTGCGTAGCTTTGGACTAACATGCATTGTGTTACATAGCTTTTGACAGGATTCCACGAAGATGACAACGGTGGCCAACTACAGCAAGAATTTCATCATGATGGAGCTTTTAATGGACCAAACAGTCCAGACTGCCATCGTTACATAGAAAGGAAGTCAAAGATTTCTTTGTCTCTCGCGGCCGATGTTTTGTTTTCTTGTTTGGACAAACAAAAACGAGCCACCTAGTTAGATTTGATTAGAAAACAAGTCAAACGCGCACCCAGCTTTTTAATTTTTTTAAATTGGAAAATCGCCCCGAGCAAGGCTATAAAAGCCACTCCGGCAAAGGGCTAGAATTAATACAGCTTGGGTCAGCTGGGTTCAACTTTGACTGGTTTCTAGTCGAATTTAACTCGAGTATTTGTAGACTTTAGAGAGTGAATTTTACCCAGTAACCCGTTGTGTTTTTGCTTCAGCTTCCCGAAGCAGGATGCGACGGCGATCACAGCAGCGAAGTACAACAGGAATTTCATCTTGGGAGAGCTTTTAATGTCTGGTTTGACGTGGGGGAAAAAACTGGATATGCCGAAGCAGAGAGCACCGTGGAATTTATAGAGTTTCTAGGTTTTGTGAGGGTTTTTTGTTGAATAAGGAGCTATCAGCTTCGTTCGATAAAAACAGAGAGTTTTATCGCGAGCGTGCGCCGGATGACTGACATTGATAAGAACGAAGACAAAATGTCTGGCATTGAAAGAACGTTCAATTGCGCTGCTCATGCTTGATTGAATGGATTTAATTTGTTTTTTTCCATAAATATAATGGAATATGCAATTTAAATGTAATCATAGGGCTCTCTCACTGACTCACGTGACCCCAGCCTCGACTCCATTGGCGCGTGCGCGTTCCTCCACTAAGATCGCGAAAGGCATGATGGGAAACAACATGGAAACAACATGGCGCAGCAAGATCGTACCCATGGAAACGAGGTTGACGTGACCCGGCCTAATTCCGGGTACCTGAAAGTGCAGCGTCGCCATCATGCATAGTAGTAGGCAAAGATCATAGTGCTGGGGGCTGTCGGTAGTAGGCAACGTTTTGTCGTCTTCTTGGAAACTTTTTTTTATTTATTCCCTGCCTCCCTTTAGGTTTAATCACTTATCGTGTTCGTACACGTTTTTGTCAGTTCATTGTGTCTGATTATTAACAATAATGCTGGAAGATGTTTATCTTAGTTTCATTGAATATTACTTTGTTTGTTTTTCAAAACATGTCCGCTAGAATTCGTTCACTTTTGATTGTGATCTTATCGCTTTGAAAACAGCTGTTTACATTAATTAGTGACAGAATAGTTGTAAAAAGATGATGAATTATGTGCACGTTCTATCGTGTCCTTAGGATGTAGCTAGAAAACCCGTTTTTAAAAAGAATTTTTAGTAGGTATAATGGCGTTTAGCCAGTTTGTTAACTACTTTATCTATAAAGCGTGATTTTAAAGCTCGAAAATGAATGCTCCCAAGAGTCCGCGGCTTCCAAGAGTCGGCCGTGTCCGGAAAAACGGTCTACATTTCAGAACGCCTCCCTGCAAAAATGTCTGGATCCACCCCCTGCTAGCCCCCCCCCCCCCCAAAAGTGTAGGCTCTAGAACTGCGCCTGCGACTCAATGTTTAAAATCTCATTTGAATGGCTGTGCGTTATCTGTTGTCATTCTTACTCAGCTCAATAGCTTCCAATGGCATTTCCATAAACAGCTATAAAAATAGGTTCTTTTAGTCAAACAGGCATAACTTCTCATAGCATGGATCAATTGCAGTATTTTTTTCAGATGAGTGGACAAACATGCTCTTTTTCATTGGTGTATCAATTTTGATTGTTGTTGTTTAAGAAACAAAAGTTATTTTCCGAGATAATTCCAAGATACCTTTTTCATAGCAATATTTAGAATATAACAATGCAGATAATTATAGGTAAATGCCAATAAGTATAGGCATATGTGGATGAAAAGATTCTATTTGATGTTACAAACTTCTAAACTAGATGTAATTTTTTTCTGGGTACAACTCGAAGTAGCCCGGACAGTACATCTTCAAATAAGGAAGTCAAAAATATAAAACATCGCTGGTATGGTCAGGATAATTATTTTATTACAATCGTAATAATTCATACACAGTGGTCCAGGTCTGCTAAACTTTGTCAATATTTAATTAAGGCTGCACGTGGCAACATTAGCTCCACTCGCTTTTAAATAAGCACAGCAGGACACAGAACAAAATAGTCGATGCAATAAAAGGAAGTCTCGAGAAACTAAGTCACTGAATTTGACAAACGAACGGTAAAGGACTATCACCATTTCCACCGTTTCAAATTTTGTTCTGGCTCCCTCCTAATTTGTAAAATAGTTAATTTACTTCTAGGAGCTTAAGTACTGATCACTGAAGTAGTAGTAGTAATCAAGTCTGTCACGAGCCAATATAGCTCATCAGGCCGGCGTTTATCTCCGGTTTCCTAGGCATGAAACGATCGAGGATATTTCAATCCCCCCCCCCCCCCGGATGGGATGCTAGTCCATCACAGGTTACTCCCAAACTAACGCTGGTCCCCATTTGTACTCCTAGGTGGAGCGATTGAGGCAAGTAGGGTGACGTGGCTTGCCCAAGGACACGCATAATTATGGCCAGCAGCTGGATTCCAAGCCCTGACCCTCTGATCACAAGTTGCAAATCCTAACCACTATTTCACTGAAGTAAAACTCTAAAATTTGTGCAAATATGTTTGTTTTTGTACTTTTAAATTTTGGGGATGGTAAGCATTGTATATATTTGTCCAGATATACTTGTCCTCATCGGAGCGTAAAAGTCAGAAACGAGACCACAATCTCATGATGTTCGATTGACAAATGGCGTATGGTGCATCGCACAAAAACAAAAAAGAATTTAAAAAGTAACGAAGGTCCAAGCTTACACCAAACAAGTCTGAAAAAAATTACTTACTGAGAAAGAAGTAAGGGTGTGACTTCGAATTTAAATAAGCACCAAGATCTCGTGACTTTTGACACCAACATTTTGTTAATCTTTCAAATGAATTTTATTGAATTTTGGGCAAACTGGGAAAAAAATTATTGTGAAAAGTATTATTAATATTCATTAATGACACATTAAGAGTTAAAAAGCCGACTGATGAAACTTTCAATCAATCACAGATGGGGATGCAACGACGTCACATCAAGTGATATGACACTGTGTTCAATTGGATGTTCCTTACGCCCAACCGGTAGGCCGATGAGGGCGCCCCAGGCGGAAACTATTACTTTCTGATTTGAATATCCGTACCGTGTTCACGGTCATCGAAAGAGGGCGTTGCCACTGTCTAAGTTTAGTAACTGTAACTTTTTAATAATCACCTTTCCGATTATAATAATAGTGAAAAGATTATTTTGTTTACCAAATAACTTAAGACATTCTTAATTGTGATTTTCGAATTTATTTGCAGTTGGATTGCGACCATCCTTGGTATTTATCGTCGACGGTACCAGCTTCGCGAGCGAAGCACAGAGCCCCCTGTTTGTCGCATTCGCACATGTAGGATTTGCAGTCCTCATCGAATTCCCAGAAGAAATAATCATCGGCTTTCGCTGAAAATGTCAAATGTGAAAGAAAGAGAAAGAATTATGTTAAAATATTTTATTTCAAGTGCAAAACTCCAGTAGGACATTGGTTAACGTCATCATGAAACTTCGTTGTCCTGGTTCCCTGATGTGTATTCATTTCGAAAAGCTATGGTAATCAGCGATGGAACCAACGCCATTAGCCTGGTCCCGGGTAAACTATACGGTCGACCAAACTATTAGGTCCGACTATCGTCGAGTAGAGTGCATTCTCTTCTTGGGCGATATCTTCTGAACTACAGTTCTCAAATTTGCTCCAAATTATAGGTCTATAATATAAGCTCGGGACCCAGTATGCGAATTAACACTTACGTCTCGTGTACTTATTCCTTTTAGCAGGGTAAATGCGAAAACGATGCTAAAAGGTATAAAGGCACATTTGCTCTATTTTAAACTAAGGCCCCCCAAAAAAGTCTCCGGTTTCTGGTATGGAGCTTGCCCAAAAAGTGGTGCGGCGACGAGGCTTTTTTTTTTTATCTGATTTTTTTGCTTCAAATGTCGGCTGATGACTGCAAATGGTGCCCGACTAAACTTAGTGCAAATATATGGGAGTCCAGAGAGGCCACATAAAGCTAATACTCGACCATAACACAATCTAAAAACACGTTAAAATTGTGCAGCAGCAGGATTCCAGTCGAACCAGTGAGTTTGGCGGTTTTGAGACATCATCTTTCATTGAAAAAAAAAACTTTTTCATTTTGCCGAAGCGCATAGCTACGGCGACGCGCGCGCATACCAGAAACCGGAGACTTTTTGGGGGGCCTAATATTTAAACAACATAGAGGAGCAGCTATCCTTTATCACTAGAGGGCGCCCTGGTTCCACTACTTACTGCAGGAGATTTCACAGCTGCTCGGGTCGCCCCATGTGGATCTCTTCGCCTTGTACTTGTACTCAATCGTGTACTTTTGGATTCCCCAACAGCCGTTATCATTGGCCGCATCGTAGCAAGCGTCGTGCTCCTTACAGCACCTGTGAGATGGAGATTGAGACAAGTCACATGACAGGTGTAGTGCAAAATTTGGACTCAGTGAAATACAGACTCCTTGGTTGTATTGCGCAGGCCTAAATGAAGACATTTATTTTGTAAACTGTATACGCTCCCATAACATAGTTGAAGTCAGAATCGACGATGGAGGGACTGGGAACCAGTCTAAGATAATTAGCACAGTTACAGGTCACCTTTGAGGGTTACAATTCACGCAAGGTAAAAGAGACCAGACTTCATAGAAGTCCAAATTTCACATGACACCGGTACAATCCGTTAGTTGTAGGAGAAGGTTAGTAGGACAGAAGGTGAGTTTTACTATCTGTTGATTAGCTAACTGCTTGTTGATTGCTAAATTACTGATAACTGATTATTATAAACTCTTAAACTACCTAATGGGTGATCGGTTTGGTACGTCGTTCTAGTCAACAGATTAACTTTAAGTTTGACAATCATTATTCCTTCAATAGATTTGTGAGCTGAGTCACCCAATCAGAAAATAAATCCTGGATAGATTGACCAACTAACTAAAAAGACCGACCGGGTGACAAAAAGACCGACAGAGTGACGAACTGATAAACTGACTGACAACCTGATTGGTTTATCAATCGACCGACCAAACCATTCGACTAAGTGTTCAGTAATTTGAACATGTTTTGTTTGTTCAGGGCATATGTTTTCTGTATTTTTTTTTTTTTTATTGTTTGTTGTTGGTTGCTCGATTTGTACTTTGGTACATGGTTGGTCATAGTTGGATGGTCAATAAGTTGGATAGTTAGTCAATTGGGTTGGTTTTTCTATTTTGTTGGTTGGTGGCTTACTCTGGTCCATTAGTTGGTCTTTGAGAGATGGTTGATTAGTCTCGACGATTGGTTGGTCGGGTCGGTCGTCTGCTGATTGTGTATTGGTTGCTTGCGTGGTTTGTTAGTTGGTTGATTGCTTGTCTGTTGGTTGCTTTGTAACTTACTGGTCGGTGGGGTCCACGGGGTCGCCCTCACCACCGAATCCACAGTAGCACCCATAGCCGTTGTACATGAAGATGGCAGAAAGGAACCATTCCTCAGTGGCACAGGTGATCATGTCGTTGAACTGGATAAGACTTCTTTGCTGAACGGCTGCGAAAAGTGGAGAAATCAATTCTAAATTCTTACCGTAACATCAGCACACTACTGTTTGAATTGGAGGCATATATCCAAAGACATGTATTTTATAAGGTTTCTTTTTCAATTTATTAACGTCATGGTTTAGTGCACGAGCCACGGCTCAAAACGATTACAAATAATCTAAAAGAAAATGACATCAGTCCGCTATGTGCCACTCTTTGCGTTGTTATTTATAAATGTTCATGGGATACATCTTTGGTATAAATGGTTTGTTTTTTTGCAGATCAAGAAGGTAATATGCATGCAGATTATCCAAAACTTACACGAGGCAGCAGCCATCGCAACAATGGCGGCGAAGCACAGCAGTAACTTCATGTTGATGGTCGTAGAAAGGCAGCAAGAGAAGAAGAACAAACCAACTCGCCTGCAGCGCGCGGAGGACATGCCAACTCCCGCGCCGCCTGCCACATTTATACTTTTCCATACTTTCGAGACCTATTCGTTCGGTGACTCGGCTGAAATGGTGCAATTAAGATAAAGGGTTCGAGTTTGACAGTGCGGCCATGGCACGGTGGAGATAACTTTGAAATTTCACGAGCACAAAGCGTGGCAACCAACCCTAATTAACACCACATGGTCTGGAAAGGAGTTCCTAATAGTCGTTATCTCGAAACAATAATTGACGCAATTAACGATTTTAAATAGGTGATTTTATTGCCGATAATGCCTTTTTTTCGTGCGTGGGTTAATTAATTTTACGCCTTTGAAAAGAAGGAAAGAAAAAATTATTGTCGATTAGGATAAATGGAATTGATTGCACCAAAGGGCGCAAGAAAAAAATACGTTCAGTATGTAACAAGTACAACCGTCTCTGAAAAACTGTCTCCAGCGGTTATTTGTGGAAAGTACCTTTGGTCGACACGATCTGAACTTTCACACGATTGACGTGCGTTTGTTTATGGTGTAAAATCGAGGACACACACACGTTCAACATCATCGGTGAATCGAGGACAGGAACCAAATCGAGGACGACCTCGATTAGAAAACGTGTACAAAACCAATGAGAGCTGTTGCGAAAAAGTACAAACATAGGAAAGGGAGAGAGGAACAAATGAAAATCCTCGATTTACACCATGTGAGTTTGTATTACAGTCACTATGTGGACATGTGAACAAAAGATGTCCACATAATGCAGGTTGTGTTGACGTTATGTGGACTAAGCCGTGTCCACATAACGTTTCGCCCTCTCTGGAAAACATGTTTTTTAAGAGGCATTTTCAGGTTAGGGTTATCCGTCGCAGAATGTAAGATAAACATTCAAGGAAATCCAAAAAAAAAAAAATATCAAAAAAAAATGGGGGGCTGAAAGAGTTTTCACAGTTTAAGTAAAGTTATTTTTGTTGTACCGAGTTTTCTTAACTACATGAAAACAAAGGAATGTCCACATAGAGTAAGTAAAACAAACATGCGTGTGTGTGTTTCTTGGGGGGGGGGGTTGCTCTTCAGGCCCTCGTACTTTACATAAACCCAACCATACTGTTTACAGGCCAACCTGAGGGTGGCTTTATCAGAGTATTTAATTGTCAACTTGTAGGTGTTTGTGTAATTCTAATCGACATATAGGCCGACACAACCTGAAATGCTCCTCTAATGATTGTTAGTGTTACAGGTACTGTCTCGCTCCCTTCGGCAAACAGCGCCCTCTCACGGTTTGAAAGGGAAAGCCATTTTTTTCAACAGTGCTATTTATACTTACTAATCGATGATCAGTTAAGGTTTCCACATTGTGGGCGGTACCTTTTAGCTGGGGGTGGTATGGCAGCTGATAAGAGACAGAATACGGTGAGATATGGTGACGCAATATGAATGGAGTTCAACTTTAGCATGTAGGCCTAGGCCTTTTGTCTTGCTATTTCCACTCGTTGGGCAATCGGGTGGGGGTGGGTGGGGTGGGGTTTTTTTTTGGGGGGGGGAGGGGGCATGGAATTAGTCCGTTTGTTTTTTCGAGCACACTATATTAAATTGGCATTTAAAATATTCTTACATACAATCGAAGTCAATGGAAGCAGTCAACTCTTTCACCCACAAATTACGCGTACCTGTAAAATGTTAAGATGTCAAACACGGACAGATATAAAAATGAAGAGCAAATCATGCGCCTCTTATACTGGTAAAAAATCTAAAAATTATGAGAAACATTTGGCTTATAACTAGGCCTATACTTCAGTAGGTTTTGGTCAAAAAATATATGTGACTATTTCGGCGCACTCTTTTTTTAACTGTTTTCTGAACGCCCTATTCGCTGCATACACAACCTTGTTAAAAGACACAGCCGCGTCGATATACAGCCATTTTACAGAACCATATAACAGGTCCTAAATATCGACAACCAATAATCAAACAATTTAAGTAGAAAAAAAGCGTGAGAAAGTGCCCAGTTGTGTCGCCTGTTGATATTGCGTGTGACGGACACACGACGGTAACAAGTAGGAAAACGCGGGAAACCATTGCCACTCATTGATTTCTGTGCGCCATTAATTTCCGCACACGCGCACAATTATGTACACGACAGAGGCACTTGTTACAGCATCAGGGAGTAATTATTAAACATTGGACACTTAAACGTGTACACAAACACACACACAAGCATGTACATTGAAACAACCAACCAACAAACGGACACGTCCAAAAGACTCACCCCAGCCTTAAAAAAACCCCAAATTTAAACAACTATTCAAGTTATGCAAAAGGCATAGCTTGCCAGATAGGTATTAATTAAATTAATAAATAGAATAAAATAACTTATAATGCTTATAATTATATAGCGCTTTCCATCGTATCGACAATCTCAAAGTGCTTTACAATCGTTCCCCCGTTTATCAGGCCACGACACCACGCGGCAGTCGATATCAGCGCACACATTTTGGCCCTATATACCCTCACAGGTACCCATTCATACTCCTGGGTGGAGAGAGGCAAGTGTCTTGTCCAAGGGCGCAAAAAACCATGTTCCTGGTTATAATGGTTAACAACAATGACCCCAGCCCGAAAGGCAATATTATGATGAAAATTGTGTGGAAAAAAACAAAGATAATTTGCAAGAGCTAGAGAATCCACGAGGCTCATGGAGACTTTTTATCAGTTCTTAGATTGACGTGGAATGTTGCCTTTGTCTCTTGTATCTGTCTCGGAGACCAACATTTAGAAGGGGCTAACTCAGAAGTGTGTGAGGAAAATGGGCAAAAGTTCGCCGATATAGGTCGGGGCATTCGTATCTGAAAACCATTAACGTCATTCTTGTGGCAACTGTAAAACATTATACTGTTGAAATTCTGGTCTGTTATCATTAGGATACAACACTCATCGGTAGTTGATTCCCCCCCCCCCCTTCATTTCACTGGTGGCAACTGAAAAAAAATAAATTGTCCATCCACAGACGGTTTCCGTTTCACGAAACAAGCACACGAACGGGAAGAAACCAAAGAAAAACTCACATTTTGTCATTAATAACCGCAAACCGGTACCGACATACCCGGCTAGCTAAGTGCAGTGAAAGTATAGCGGGACCAGCATCCAGATTTCTGGGGCATTGGACCCTGGTTTCAATTTACCGGGTACGAGTCGAGGGGTGTACGGGGACTGTGAAGCGTCTGACGGGCTGAGAGTTCGCAGCCGCTCGGCAGCACTGAGTGGTTGCCAGATGGGTCAGAAATTGTGCCTAGTGCTTACCATGCCACCTCAGCGCTGCGAAATAAACGAACAATCCAGTTTGGCCATGTCAGTTTTTGAGTGCATATTTTGGTTATACAGGAACACCAGTAGAGGGTCACTATTACTTTAAGCATTGACATAGCATGATGGCATTAATATTACTAGCTCTGAATTCAGCTCTGCCATAGCCTGTGTTCAGTTCACCTGTTTCCCCACTTTCAGGAGGAAAAAGTCCACATCACCTTTGTTCCCTTCAATTCATGATTCCCATTCTGTTTGTTTTCCCGGTCGTTGAAAACGCCGGTGAGTGTTGGCGAAATGATCAAACGCTCTCTCCCCCTTGTCCCCTCCCGCCCCTCTTGATGAGACTCCGGCGATCAATTTACCGTGGAACGATTAATTGCTTCGCGGCCACTCTAGGCCTTGATTGCCCGTGCCGAGCACCGGGGCAGCCGTGCCTTTTGTTAGCCGCGCCGCTATCACCGGCTCCACTTGGGCCCTGGACTCTCTGGCATACATCCCATTCTCCTTGGGGTACTTCCTCCTCCCTGGCCCTCCAGCCTGATTTCCGTATGTGTATTTTCCACCAGCCCCAGTCCAACTCCCCACTCAACCAGACCAGTTCTGCGACTAGTACACAGGCGCTTCAATTATAGTTCTCCGGGCCGACCGGAGCAGGAGCCGCCCGCTCACGGTCGTGGGAGGAAAATGGCACTTGTTGGTCTGGAGTGATCGGTAATGAATAAAGTGTTGACCAACAAGGGCAAGGAATTAATCACGACGATGGGTGTCTCAAGTGTTCAGGCAATCAAGTGATATCGGTCTTCAGTCTTTTCATTTCGCCCTCTAGCTCTCCCTTCGTCAAGTGTCGACCTTTACCCCGCGTGCCTCAATTTTGGAAACGATACTGCTAAAACAATAACTCGCTCCAACCAATATTGCCATGAAATGTTTTTTTTGACTGGTTCTCTTCAACCTGCTGTTGAACTTCGGGTCCCGTACGCGCGGTCCGCTTCGCTGTTCATCATAGCTGTTTTTGAGTTGCAACCGACCCCAGCTATTCACTTATTGAAACATCTGTAGAAAAATCCGCTCACTGGTCTAATTATATTTCGAATTAGTTGCGATCCGACAATTCAGGAGGATCTTTTAGCACCAAAGCAACAGGGTCCCGTTTGTAGGGGATACTAAGGGGGGGGGGGCACTCAATGGGTATTTAAGCTAATTTTTGGCCCAGTAATTGGAAGACGGGTGGAGGGGAGGGAGCACGGGAGAGCATACTCACGAACGGTGCACCGTATATACGTACCATTTCCATCCCGAATAACATTTCTTTGCTTTACAGGGTTGCAAACACCATCTATACATTATCTATTCGTGATTCCCATGCAGGGACTTCCGTCGAAGAGGTATTGTTTTTAATAATAGTGAAAACAAAGGCCTTTTACAGTACTTTACGGAACTTGGGAAGCAGGCCGTTCTAACTTGGACCAAGTTGGATAAAACACCATTTGCTGTCTCTATTGTGAACCCCATATTCCAGTAAAAGTAGTGATAGCAAGAAATAATTTATAGACCCCATATAGTAATCTCTTTTACAGGAATGGTGTAATTGGTGTCGGCAAGTCGGTCCAAGGTCTGTGAAAATACAGCGGGAGCACAATCCAGATTTATCACATTAATACGGCATAGCGCCCTCTGTATTTTATGTAACTGCAATCTGACCACAAGAGGTCGCACTTCACTATGCACGCTCGCCGGTTGTCAAATGGGCGATGAACGAAATAAACTAAATGTCTCATCTTTTGTCTTTCCCTCCACGCACTTAGTCTTGGGAGAATAAACCTGGCGCGTAGAAGTATCTCAGAGGCTATTCTATATTTCAATTAAGTAACAATGAACATGGGCGTCGCCAGGTTTTTTCTAGCGGGGGGGCAAAACATTATTTTCCCAAAAATTCCTGTATTTTCCAACATACATTTATCATTTTTAGAGGGGGGCGGGGACATCCCCCAACCCATTAAATTTGAAGTACATTATACAATTGTAATATGACTTCGCGCTTCTTTTAATCTTTTTCTCTCTCTCTCTCTCTTTCTCTTTTTTTTTTTTGGGGGGGGGGGGCTTTTCCAGGGGAGGCAAGCGCCCCCCTTGCACCCCCCCCCCCTTCGCGACGCCCATGGCAATGAATGTTAAAAAGGTTTATTCATGCCTATGCTTGTGCCAACAGCGGCGTAGCAAGGGTTCTCACTTAAGTACAAGTGGGGTCGAGGGGCAATGGTGAATGGGGGACGGCGATTCCCAGGCATGCAACTGGGAAATCACAAAAAAAAAGGGAATTATTATCTTTCCAAGACTTTGTACAGTGTGTTTCTATTATCAATGGCACACATTGGAAGTGAAAAAAGAGGAAATCAGCTGATCCGAGGAAAAGTTGCATGCCTGGATTCCCCCCCCCCCTCTTGCCACGTACAAAACCATTGCCCTCTAACTCGAGTCTGTTAGGACCCCCCAAAAAATGTATTTAATAAGTTACTTGTACGTGTACATGTACATTGAAAAATCAAGGTGGTTTATTTAGAACAATCCAGGTGGTTTGATTATTTTATTTCTAATAACGATTTACTATACCTCGACTTTTTGATGTGAATAGGCCAAACTATAGTAAACAATTCAGATTCTTCGCGCGTTGCTGACCAGTGTGGGCGTAAATCCCCTGGGGGTGGGGAGGATATCCACACCCTCCACTTTTTGACCGGGGTGGACCATGGTGCCCCTCCCTCGCCAGATTTTTGTGGTGAGAAAAAACTACCGATTTTGAGATGATCTTGTTACTTTCCAACGGTCCAAACTAATTAATCTGTTTTGAAAAACGGAGAGCAACAGTACATAAAGCACCGGTTGTTCAAAACCCATGACGTAAGCGCGCAACAAGCACGTTTGTATCATGAACAGCAATCCCTCATTAAATACATGTATTGTCACGTGGTGTCGAGGCCACCCCCTCCCTATCTCAGATAAGGATTTACAGCTAGCACCGTGTAATGTTTCAGACGCTAAATTTCAGACAGCAGTCACCATCGTTCTAAAAAAAAGCAGCAGTAACGATTTGGGGCCAGCGCCGGGGGACCAAGCAATTTTGGAAATTTGAAAAGTGTCGGGGATTGGGAGTGGGATCCCAATTTGACGCTAGATGGCGCTGTTCAGACGCGCGTGTGACACCCCTTCCCGATCCCTAAATTTCATGTGCCAAGGGTGGCGGACGAACAAAATCTTTTGAGCTGTAACACCATTTGGAGAAAAAAAACCCAATAGGTGTATTAAATTCATTTCGATTGTGCCAAAAATGGGGACGGGGGACAGGGGACCATTTCATATCAACAGTTCATTGCATAAGACTGATTCGAACAGTATAAAACAAAAGCCACTTTATTTGTAAGTCATACAAAATCGATATAACAGGTTAATCTGAACATTTGCATAGAGGTAGGCCTACACAAAAAACTTGAAATATATGTACCTGTATTGGTAGGTACATGTACATGTAAAAAAAACCCAATAACTTTTTCACAAATGGGACAGTTGTCTTCAGTAAAAATTAGCAAAATCCCTTCCACACACTTCTAAAAAATGTAGCACACATTGTAATTTCAACTTGGTCCTGGAAAATGGCTAGGTCTTTGAAATTGGGTATTGAAACACATTAAATGTACTTACAAAAATGAAATGTAACAATATGTTATTTTTATGCATACTAAAGTAAACAGGGTATAAAATATAAATACATGTACATAGTTTGGTAAATTTACAGTTATACACACACGCGTCGATACCAAAAGGGAAAAAATAATTATGCTTAACTGTTCTGTCGCGTGCAACATGTTTGAGTGATTGGCACGCAACTACCAATGTGATTTACCATTTTTACATTGCATAAAATTTTCTTGAAAGCTTCAGGCGTGGATCCAGAACCCCCCCCCCCCCCCAGTTCTGTCAAAAAAAAAAAATTCATACAAATTCCTAAAAAATGAGTCGAAACCCCCCCCCCCCCCCCTCCCGTGACACCCAAAAAAATTATACTGGTATAATGTCTGCCTGTCCAAAATACGGTACACCATTATGTAATCTAGTGTTAATAATCGTCGAATTTGAACAGCGCCCCCTATTGAATATGGTACATTTTCAGATTTCTTTTGCTGATGAACCCCCCCCCCCCCCCCCTGCGAAAATTCCTGGATCCGCCCCTGAGCTTTGGAGTGGGCAAAAGCTCGGCCACTACATAATCGGCTATGTTGGTATCAAACTGGGCTTGCGAATATCAATTTCAATAAACAATGCTCATTAAAAAAAAAGAATTGAGGGTATTTCTTTGTCATCTCTGAAATACAAAATCCAAATACAATGTTCATGTACTTTTGAAAAGCAGCAAGTTTAACATAACCTTTTGTCAGCATTACCTTGCACAAATTAAACCCACAAAAATACTAATAACCTTTTTGTTAGCATTTCTTTGCACAAATAATCCAAAAAAAAATAATAATAATAATAACAGTTTCAGCTACTTTACATTCCTGAGAAAACTCTTAAAAGTTGAAAAATTAACTTTTGGAATGTGTTCCATACCTAAACATCACTTGACACCCTGTGCACAAACCCTACGTGACTGGTCTGAAAATTTTAAAGTGTTTTCTCAGTAAATGCTTCAATATTTTCCCAGCTAAATTTGACTTTTTAGGACATGCTATCACTTTCTGAAAGTCGATAAGTCACTGCAGGGAAAAATGAGTGATGTCCATTAATGGAATTCTTACCAAACTTTTTTGAACTTAATACTGCTCAAATAAAAACGGGTTCGTTTGACAAAAACAGAACGGTCCATTACAAACAGTGTAAAAGTTACGAGCATCATTAAAAAGGCACGCTGAAAAATTGAAGTTTCCTCTGATCCTCTTAAAGAATCTCCCCAAAAAATTAATAATACTGTAGTTCCAATTAAGAAAGATACGGCACAATCCTAACCCTCCAGGGGCATTGTCTAGAAACTCTACTAAATGCATCAACATGTACAACGGTTGTCAAAGTGGGAAGCCTACCCATTGTAACGAGGTCCAATAGGTTAAAAAAAAAACAAGGCCAAACTGCCGCAGAGTCCTGGCAAACCTGTACAGTATCTCACAGTGGCACTGTTCAACTTTTCAGTTGACCTAAGCAAGATCAACAATGACCTCATAGACCCCTACATGATGACCTTTGACCTCAAACGTCTCAAATCATCTCAAGTCCCCATAGCCAAAGATTAATGTCAAAAAGTTTGGTTGAGAGTGAAGTGTGACTTTTCATGAGAGGCTGACAGCTCTAAACAGTTAACCTAACCAAACAGACACAGACACACAGACGGAATACACTTTTGGAAGAACCTCCTTTCTTCGCTTAAAAGCCAGGGGCTTAAAAGGAGCAGCTCAAACTATCCTGTAATAATACAGTTTATGCACTGGAATCGAAGCCCCATTTAAAAAAAATTCCAACTGATTTTACACCTGTTTTACTTTGTCACACCTGATGAACCTTGTTGCATCTGTCAGGTTTACCTCCCAAACGACACTGAACAATTCCAACAGCTTGTTTTTTTTAAAGTTATTAAAACACATGTACAACAGTTTTGTCCACTGTTTTGCAAATATACCAAAATATAAAGTAAGATTTGTCACATCCTGTGGCATTTGTCTAACTTTAAAAATATGAAACCGAAAAGTCTTTTTTTCTTTTCCAAATGTTGTTTTGGAAAATCACTTATTCCAAAATGTCTCAACTTCCCTGGAAATATTGAAAAATATTCTCAATTTTGGAAACGGCAGTAAACAACCTTCAAGTCCTTTCATTCACTTCTCAGTTAACTTTAACTGAACATAATGTCAAAATCTTCAATTTTCTCAACATTGTTGCTAGGAAAGTGCCCTGAATCCTTCAAACTTTAACACTCGACATTCTTCCACAAATCCCAAAATTTCAACTTTCAACAACTTTAAAAATCGCAACTTTTGGGTAACTTCATTAAACTGAATCAGAAAAAAAACCCAAGAAAGAAGCCAAGTGCTTAAACTTTTTGTTTGTCTTTCTCAGGCTCTAAGGACATTCCAACAGGTCATAAAGCAGTCAATTGGAAGTAGACCAATACATGAACATGTATACATAAAAAATCCTGCAACATCAAATGCTGTCTCCCTTAAAATCACGCTCTCCCTTAAAATCACGCCCTATCAAAAATGTTTTTGTCCTTTTTTTTCCTCCCTGAGATTCTGAAATGTGACATCCAAAAATTTTGGAAGCAGGCTTGATATCCTTGTAATAAAACTGCCATTAGATGAGTTATCACAGTAAATATGGTTAAAATAAATGAACATATGTGACCGGCTCCACAAAAAGGGTATTATGTCGCAAAAGAAAGTGAAATTGAGTTATAAACATGGTTGGAAAGCCCACAACGTAACTTTAATTTGGTATATTATAAAGCTCCATAGTCCATCACAATCTGGAGAGATGACGTATTTGCATATGAATTACTGCCTTTGAGTTCAAATTACACAACTGAGAAAACAGGCTTTGAAATAGCTGGCTTTAATGTAGAACAACAGAACTATGTACACAAAATGGTGTTTTTTCTCACTTTGTTCATCAAAATCATCATTTCTGCAAATGAACCCTGAAACTATAGGTAACAAAGATGGCAACAAATTTAAATCACATTTTGACAAAATGTTTACCCTCTCAATGTAAAGCAGGCCATTACACGATAATGCAAAGTGCGACTTAATACCTTTGATTGTGGAGCCGGACACATATGTCATATTTGTTACTAACCCCAAGGTAAGTATCTACATTGAATGTGTCCTGTTCAAGTACCGGTAGTGTGGATGCAGTGAGGAGATACTGACTATTTGAGGAAAACCACCAGAAGCATTCTCTTCTGGATGACTTGGTGGGTACCAGGTCCGACTGCTATAGCCTCGTTGTTGCTGGACGGAATGGCTGGCCACTTGCTGTGGCTCATCAATTTGTCTGGTCTCCATGTACTCTCTTCTCTGTGCAGTGATAGGTTGGCCCATCCTTTGGTATTTGTACCCACTGCCAGGGTTGGTAGAGCTGCTTGATGACGGATCTGAGTGCTGTTTCCTCAAGTGCCTCTGCCAGAGTTTACGGTAAGCATCGTCACGGGATTCAGCATTCATCGGAGCCCTTCCATCACTTTGATAGACATGAACTGTTTCTGGTCTGTTTGGAGGCACCTGCCGGATATCTGCATCAGGTGACACGAGCTGACAGTCCAGGGTACTGTAGCTTCTGGAGCATCTTGTCATTCTGTGGTTAGAACTGCGGTCATCAAGTTGTTGCCAAGGGATGCTGTGATACTGGTTTGCTGAGGGTTCTAGACCTCTGTTGTCCATGCTACTGTTTTCAACACGTGTCCTCAGTCCTTGTTCATTGTTGTTAGTCCAACACCATTCTCTCGAGTCCACATTCTGGTGACTAAAGGCAGCACTGGCTTCAGTTTGTCTGGTGATACATGCCATGCTTGCTTCATTCTCTCTCCTTAATGCACCCACATGGTTGTGTGATGTTAGGAAATGTTCCTGCCTGTATTCCTGAGGGCTATGCATTGGCGCTCTCCTTTGGTGGGAATCATGATACAATTCCTGATATTGGTAGGAGTCTGTTTGGTTGTTAGTGCGAAGCATAGTGGATGACCAGTGCCGCGATTCTTGGACTCTGCTGTCTGGGAAAGAACAAGCTAAACTCCACCTGCTGCCTGGAAGACAATGATTCTGATTGTCTTGTCCAATATTTTTGGGTGATACTGCGTCTGTTTTCAGGTACTGGTTCCTTGTTCCTTCCCTGGAGTAACGTCTTCCCCATTGATTTTGGTTCCTCCTTGATTGCTGAGTGTGATGACCAATTGATGGGCATTTCTGTGCCTCCTGGTTACCTGATAACGATGCCCTTCTACTCTGAGCATCTACAAAGCCTTTTCTAAGATGATCCTCTGGAGATGGTATCTGGAGTCTGGGTTGATTTAGACTTTGACTATGTCCCATTGGGTAATCCAGCATGGTTCTCAAGAGAACATCGCTTCTCCTTTCATCAGGTGACCTATGAGCAGATGAGATTCCTTCATTCATGGGATAACAGGGTTGTGCTGGTTCTGATGTTCCTGAATATACCACATCTGTTACAGGACCCTCCAAGGAGGCGTAACTGTTCGTTTTTCCTCCTCTGTTGTCCACATCTTTGGTCACTGATGCTCTATTAAACAGCACATCTGGATAGGGACTGGTAAATGGAGGACTGTCATTATTTCTACAGGGTACAACTGGCATTTGTCCATTTCCTGCCACATCAAAGATCTTTGGCATGCCGCTCATACCATCATCATCATCCATGGTATGTTCTATATATACATAAGGGTCATCTTGTTTCTCCTCACTGATGGGGGCGTCTTCCTTCTCTTCTGTGTCAGTTATGGCTCTTTTTCCTCTACTGACAAAGGGAGGTCCATTGATAAGGTCGAGATTGAAAGTGTTTTGGGTCACAACTGGCGCCACAGAATCCTTTTCAAAGCTTTCCAGGATCCTAGAAGTGAAACAGTTCTTGGTGATCCTTTTCAGAGTGTCTGACATTATTTTGTCTTCACCAATGTCCATATCAAGAAATAGGTTGTCTGCAATCTGTTCCTCCTGAGCTTGGGTTGAAACTGGCCCACCTGATGTTTCCGTGTTTGTCAGATCTACGCAACCACTTTCTTTGCAGCTGTCCACGATTGTTATATCACTGGCGATGTTGTTCTTCATGCTAATGTTCTGTGGATTCTCAATCTTCTGCCTTTTCAAGGTATCTTGGCTGTCAGTGTGAAGTTCTAAACTGCGTTTCTTTTGGAAACTAGGAGATAACTGGTTTTCATGTTCCTCCTGAATGTGGACATGCGATTCAATGTTTTGGTCTCCATCAATCTCCTTTCTGCCGTTCCCAACAGGAGAAGCACATTCTTGTAACTTACATGAGTCACTGGCAGTTTGGAGACCCTGGGATGAAACGACATGATTGCTCAAGACCATCTCAGCTGCATGTGCATTGTTTGGATTAGTGACAGATCCTACATTTGACCTCTCATCTCCTTCTGTAGTCCTATGCACATCATTTTGGATTGACTCAGGACTGATTTTCTGAGATGTAGAGTTTTCATATGATGTACTGTCTTTCAAGTTTAATCCAGTAACAATGATGCCGATATCACTGGCTAGCCGAAACAGTTCATCTAAAGGCTGGGCATGGCTAATGGGATTGTCCTCAGGAACTGTGTTGCTGCTCATTACAGGAGATTCCATTGAGGCTCCAACTCTTCCAGCATTATCAATTTTTGAGTCTTCAGTCAACACTTCATCAGAGCCTCCGCATGCAGATTCAGGTTCCTCAGTAACTTCACATATTTCACTGAGTGCATTCGAATTTGAGATATCAGCTGCTCCTTTCTCAAATCCATGATCTGCAGAATGTGATATCTCCTCTTCTGTATCTTCAACATCCCTGTGCTTCAAGCCGTTTTTGTTGCAGTCCTTAACAATATCTAATTCTGACACACCCTCACTTTGGCTGATCAAGATAGCTACACCATGTTCTTTCTCAGCTGTCATCACGTCTGAGACCGCAACTTCTGCTTCATCAACAGGGTCATCTTTCTGCAGCATTTCACGCACAAAGCTCTTGGATGAAGTAGAACGTGGAAGGATATTGTTTGGCATTTGACATGGTATGTCAGAGGAGATGTCCAGCTGATTTCCTTCAGTTTTGGGGTTATCTTCAGGTTGATCTTCAAAGCCTCTAAAGTCACCGTCAGGCTGATCAACCCATTCAGCACCTTTATAATCACACTCATCGGGAAGTTCAGTTTTCACACGACTGGTTGTGTTGCCCTCCATCATGCAGTTTGGGCTTTCAGCTTCATCATCAGAGAGTCTCTCCTCCTTCACTCTGACAGTTGTAAGCAAGTTCTCTCCATCTTTGTCAATCGGCTGCAAATCCTCCTTTGTTGCAGGGGAACCAGCTTTCAGACTGATGTCTGAAGTTCTGTGTTGCTCTTCAGTTACTGTGTCACAAGGTGTCCAGCGGGATGTGTTTGCTGTTAATTCTCCACTAACCTCAATGGAGTTTTGGGATGAAATTAAAGCAGGATCACCACAGCCTGTATGGCCACTCGGAACAGAATGGTCATCACCACACCTAGCTGTACCAAAGGACTGGCAACCTAGGATGCTTGAATTTGTCTCCTGGTGAGAGGTCTCCCTGTCTGATGGAGAAACCTGGTTTCCCAGAGTTGTCCCTGCTTGCTGGTGACCTGCTTGCTGGTGACCTGCTTGTTGCTGGCTTCCTAGCATTGTCTGGCAATTGGACTGGAGGAAGTGAACCTGGACATCGGGGATGAAACTTAACCTCTGTTGGCAATACCTACACCTGTAGGGATGCAGCTCATGATGGATGCGCAGGTGATACATCAACCCACTCTTCTTCTTAATCTTGAACAGACAAAGGGGGCACTCATATAAATCAGACTTAGCATTACGACCGAGATGGCTCTCCAATCTACTTGGCTCAAAGACATAATCACAGCCAGATCTTGGAAAGTTTGCATCTGGTTTTTGATGGTCAAGGCTGCTCTCTGGATCTGATGTCTCACACAAGTCTGTCACTTCAGATTCATCAACACTTGATTGCTTTCGTGTATCCATTAGTGTAGACTGATCCTGGTTGGAAGTTGGCCCATTTGGTTCACAATGCACACTGATAACATGGTCAAGCATTGCAAAAATGTTCAGATCGATCCGCCCACAAAATGAACAGCAGTACTTTTCCATGTCGCAGTGAGCCAAGATATGGCTCGTGTAATGAGGGATGCCGTCAAACCACTCACCGCACACACTGCAGTGGTAGCAATTGGAGATTGAATTTTTCTCCAAGACCCTGAGAATATTCTTCGCCTCTGAGAAGGTAATCTTTTTCATGGTGCCATGCCATCCTTGTTCACTGTATGAGAGTGCATTAGAGATGGCGTCTGAACTTGGCCCCACGACTGTAACTGTTTCGAAAATGTTTGGATGGCTGGGGAACTCCATCCCTAACACTGAATCAACGATAAGGTTGAATGCATCCGGAGTGACATGTTGCCCTTGGCCTGTTGGCATAGATGGAATTATCTTATCCAGAGGGCTAGTTTGAGGGACCTCCAAGACATTGATAGTGCTCATTGGTATTCTGGCCTCTACATTAAATGGCACTTCCTCTGAGATCTTTTCAGAAGGTACAGAGTCAACAGATAGTTTCAGGCCAGTTTTGCTTCTTTGCCATTGCATGTCGTCTGTTGTCTGGCCGCCCCCTGCAAAGAGAGATACAACTGATGAAATCTTCAGATCTTCCACAGTTAGTCTTGGTTCACAAAGAGGGTTTGAACTGCTCCTGAGACTGAGATCCTCATCAGTTGATGGCTCTACTCTCCCAGGAAGTTCAAAATATTGGCTTCCTTGAGAAATTGCACATCCTCTTGCGAAGTTGATACCCGATATTGGCTGCTGGGGTAGCACATCACAAGGAGGTGAAGTAGAAACGTCTTTACAGAGGTTAGTAGACTTCTTTGTGGTAGCTTCTGCTTCAATACTGTGGTAGATCAGTGCGTTTGAATTCTCCTGGGTTTCTACAAGGTTTGGCACTTGCTCCATATCAACAGAGTCACTAGTGAAAGTGCTCATCTGCTGGATGGTACGGGATGAGCTGAGAACATCAGTAGCCTCCTGATTTGGCTGTTTATTGGGTCCAGAGTATCTGGCAAACATAACCTTCACATGATGCTTTGCTTTCTTGTGGAGGGCCAAGGATCTCCAATGTCTGAACACCCTGCTGCACAGGTCACAGGAATGGATGAAATCATCCTCCATGATGTCTACTGAAGCTTCATCCAGAGATTCATCAGGGCCACCTTGCTGGTTCATTCCAAGCTTGAGATGAATCACTGATAAGGGGTGATGTGTCCGACGATGGGCATTAAGCTGTTTCCATGTGGAAAAATCAAGATTGCAGTTGTTGCATCGGCAAGGGTAGATCCCAGTGCGCATGCATGAGTCACTGTCCAGATCAGTAACTGATAAATCTTGATTGGATAAAACTGGCTCCAATGGTTGAGTATGAACAACTGGATCGACAGCTGGCTCGACAAATTTTTCATTGTTTCTGTCAGGGGATGATTTTTCAGCATTTTCGACAGGGAACTCTGCTTGGTCAAGCAAGAGTGGGTGGGAGCTCTGGAGGTGAACGTTCAGTATCTCAGACCTCCAAAATGTGAGGCCACAATGTGGGCAGGAATACTTTCCTTTGTTGCGTGTTTGACAGGCTGTTACTTCAGGTCTACCACTGTTGCTGTTTGCTGGCTTATCAACAGCTGCTTGTGTCCTAACCTCATTCCTTGGCTCACCTTCATCTGACTGGCTTGTGTCCTCACTGGCTGTTGTGCACCCACTTCTCCTGACGTGCAGAAACAATTTGACACAATTGTCGAATTCCTCATTGCATCGGGAGCATATCAAGGGATTGCTTGGCTTCTCAAAAATTTGGTTCCAATGGCTCCTGACATGCTTCCGAAGGGTGGTGGCACTGTCCCATGTTATGCCACAGAAGCCACATTTGTGTGGGCTCTTGCTTGGGCTACTCTGGTCAGTCTGGGGAGATTGCAGTTGGCTCCTAGAAACCTCAGATCTGGGGCCAGAGGAACTGCTGTTGTCCTGGATGCTGGTAGTTTTGGATGCTTCAGCATTAACCTCTTCAAAAGGACGTTTCTTTGAAGACTCCTTGATCATCTCAGATGATTGGTTGATCTGCTCTTTTCCACCACTTTTCTTTTTGCCATTGCACTTAGCTGCAGCGTGTTTTTTCAAGGCTTTGCTGTACCTAAAACCAGCCTTACAAATCCGACACACATACGGCAATCTGTTCCTCTTGTATTCATCGGACCCATAGTGTGAATTAATGTGGTTTTTCAGATGGCCAACAGTCCGGTACTTCATGCTGCATAGGCCACACTTGAACTGTTTGTAATAAACAGGACCAGACGACATGCTTTCCTTAACGGCAATCTGAGGAAGCTTTATCTTCATTGTAATATTTTTCCTTTTCTCCACATGTCCAGTTGCACCACTTTTCTTCTTGGACTCAGCCTCCAGACCATACTTCTCACCAATGAATGTGTTCCGTCGTCTTCTGGGCAAGTTTTGTGAACCTTTCTTTCTCATTTTGGCTTGAGTCCCTGTTTTGCCCCCATGACAAGAACTGTTTGTTTCAGAACCCCTGAGGCTGAATAGGCCTTCCTTTTGGGCACTGCATTTGTGTCTGATCTTTGATTCCAGGTCTGAGAACTCCTCACAGCATTCTAGGCACTTGAAAAGCTTCAGGGGAGGCCGATTTAGGAGTGATCCGCCGCCCGTTCTTTCTGGGCAGCACTTGTGTTGGAGCTGGGCCATGATGCGATCAAACCTCTGGAGGCATTTGGGGCACTGATACTGCAGCGACTTGGTCATCGTTTTCTTTGGTGGTATTTTCGTGAAAGACGAGGGTGTGGAAGAGCGTTTATTGGTGGAAGGATTTCCGGGCATTTGCTTTGACTGAGCAACTGAATCTGGCTCACTGGCTTCATCCCAATGCAAAGAGGGCATCTGGGCTTCAGGTAGACATGGTGTTGTGATGTTATCATGCTCAGAAACAGTTTCACGGCTAACAGTGCCGGGAGCAGCTGAGCTGACACCAAGGTCAAGTTGTCTGGGTACAAAGTGGTAAATGGGAACACTGTGGATGTTAATATGTACTGGCTGAACCGGCATCATAACCTCTGATCCGTCTGCAGGTAAGAAAGTTGAAGCTGGGTCAGAGTTAACAACAGGCACAGTTGGCGTAAACGCTGCACTTCCATTGCAAGTTACTGCATTGTCATGTACATACAAAGATGATGAATAGGAGAGTTGGTCATCCACAGAAACTGTCGAAGGAGGCAGTGAATTTTCCTTGAACTCCTCTAGACTGGCACTGGAGTGTTTTGTTCTGAAAGATGGGTCTGCTGCAGAAGTTGACTTCGAAGCCTTCTTGGAAGCACTACATTGCTCAGGGATTTCGGATCTGGTTGCGATTTGAAGGTTGTCCCGATTTGTCTCAGCGAAGAGAGAAACTGCTTGCTGCTGGGACTGCAGGGCTGGATTCTTGGCAGGTAGAACTGACTCGTCTGCGGGAGCTTTTCGTCTACTGCTGTTGGTGCTGTCACCACTGTGTGATGAGGCGGCGGGCCGTCGCAAGTTGGTTGGGAGGTTGCGATGCTCACCCAATTTGATCATCTGAAATAAACAAAAAAGGAAACAAGAATGAGAAAACCTGCATTTGAAATCCAGTCTGGCAGCTGTGAAAATGAGCAGGAGGTGTAACAAACTGAAGAGTGAAAAAGTGTCCTTGAGACTCATTGTGATCCAGACACACAAGGGAAAAAAACGTTAACATCTGAAGGGGCAGATAGAAATACTGACTCATATTCAGCACCGTAGGTCACCTTCTGTTAACTTGCTGTATTTCAGAACAAGTACTTGTACAGTATAGCAAGTACCGGTACATGTTGGGCTGAAATCCTCCTTGATGTACACTGAATATGTATGCCACACAATCTTGAGAAAAACAGGGCAGATGTCTCAAAAATTGCCAACTCAGGATTCAAATCCGAACAAGGTTGCTCAGGTGCTTATTACCAATAACCTTAACAAAAACCCTTCCAACCCTCCAAATATCCCAAACTATAATCAACATCTGAAAAAAAGGCCACTCTCAGAGTCTACATACATTAAGTAGGCATCAACCTGTTTCAACAATTTCTGGTTTTCCTATTCTGTGCATTGTTATTCCCAGGCCCTTTGCATAAAGTGACGTCACTACCACCTTGTAAGCAGGTTTGCACCTGTCAGAAAAAAGGCAGCCAACTCCCAAAAGTGTCCCCTGGACACTTCCAATTGCCCCTTGTCTCCAGTAAGTCCAGGGAAAACTGATGACGGCATAGAAACACCTGCTGACCATTTGCACATCTGGAAAGTTCCCCAGCACTAACCCTAACCCTCCTTAATCCTCCAAAATCCTCCTTGTGGTTTTGGAGGATTTTGGAGGATTGAGGCTGAATGGTATTTTTTTAGATAAGGATTTTGGAGGATTGATCCTGAACGGTATTTTTCAGAAAAGGGTTTTGGAGGATTGAGGCTGAATGGTATTTTTTCAGAAAAGGATTTAGGAAGTTTGAGGCTGAATGGTATTTTGAGGCAGGACTGTCGGACGATTTTGAAGGATTGAGGGGCTGGGTACCCTTCATTTGAACAGAAGTGCAACATTTTTGGATGAAGAGGATTTTGGAGGATTAAGGATGAATGCATTTTGAGGCAGGACTGTCTGAAAATTTTAAAGAATTTAGGCGCTGTTGTAAAACTTAGGAGGATTTTGGAGGATTGAGGATGGTTCCTAGCAAAAAAGACCTAGGGGTTAGGGCTAAATAAGTGAGAAGCCAAATGGTGTTTGTGTAATCTCAGGATGAAAGCTGTATTGCCTGGGGAACAGATGGATACATGTATATGTTTCGTCCATCTAATCAGCCAGAACAAGACTACTAGTTGATTGAAAAAACAAAATCTGATCCAAGTCAGACTGAAATACAGCATCAAGTACTTTACCACCCCCACAGGAAGCCTGATTTGAAAAATGATCCTTTCTACGGGCACTGTAGGCTGTCTTATCACCAAAAACACATTCGGGAATCATTTCCTGGCACTCAACACATAATGCTCCAAATGAATTTTGCAGATAAGAGGGAAAGAAAATGCAAGATGAGCACGTATCATGACGGACTTGGTTCTCAACGATTGGCTTGAAATTTTGTATGCACAATATTTATGTAGATTGTCTACCAATTAAAGGGACATTTTCGCTTTGTGATTTCCACACAGAAGTGCACATTTTAACGGCAACAGTTCAGTGGTGCACCCGGGATTTGGGTTTTTTTTTGGGGGGGGGGGGGGGAAGGCTCAAATTTAAAAAAAAAATGTTGCCCAAAATTTTTGGCCGAAAAGAAAAATAGGAATTTTTTGGGGGGGGGGGGGGGGCAGGGGCTATTTTGACGTTGGTGGCGCCACTTATACCTCTATTAAACTACTCGAAAATAGGCTCAAGCCCCCCTCCTATTTCTTTGGACACAAACCAGACACTTGATCTGCCTAGCCTCCTCGGTCATTGTGCTTAACAATGTACATGTACATGATATGGTTCATGTGCACAAAACAGTCACTTCTTCTTTTGAATTGAGTTAAACAGCAACAGCAATATCTGCTTTCCTTCAAGTGAGTCACAGAGGAGGAGGAGGGGGTTGAAGTTTTAAGGGGAAACTACTACAACATTTCCCCCTCCCAACATTTCCCTAATTTTGTTTTTCAGAATTAAAAGCCCCTGCACTTTAATTCACATCCTTTACTTGATCCATCCCTCCTGCATAAAAAAAATTCTTGTGAATCAAACATTATTGCTTCATAAAATTTCCTTAAAAAAAAGGATCCCCTTTTATTCCTCCCAGCTACACTCTGATCCAAAATCATGTACATGTAAGTATCAAGTGTTCAGATACTCATGTACAACAAAATGACTTTTAGTACCTTGAAATGTGTATTTAACTTAAAAACAAAGAAAAAATAGAAGAGAAACAGTCTAGACAATTATGCTGTAGCTGCGGCCCAGCACAAGGAAACTACTGAGTGATATCACCTACTTGGCTCATAACCAGTGATCATTTGAGACAGACCTGGATGAATTCCACTACGTAGCCTATGACAGCCGGGAAAACCAATATCCATTCATCATTTATCAGCCAATCAAAACACATAACGTGGCTGGTTGTGGTCACAACGGAAACAACCCTGATTATTATCCTGAACATAATCTGAGCACAAAGTCTCCCAATGATACATTGCTGTACACTGTGTTTTTAAAACAAGTTCAAGGCAACAGCTGTTTTCTTAAAAAAGTTCCCAGATACCATGTGCATAATATACTGTATGTACGTACATATATGTACATTGTGATCTACACAAGAATTTCAAACGTGTTTATAGTCATCTCTCCGCAAAACAGACCAATTTTGAGCATTGTGTGGACACTCTTAAGGCTTTTTTGACATCTCACTGTTAGTTTTGTACACAAACGTATTGTGAAGAGCATATTTCAGATATTTGGATACTAAGTTTTCAATTTACAAATGTACATCTATATATATAAGAGAGAAGTTTACTCGCCCCCGAGACGATGTTTGCTCCTGAAAGGATCCGAGACCGCGGGCTCCCGCGGCGCCAAAATCGCTCCACGTCCGTGGAAAAATGCGGAGGGTGTCTTCCGCCGGGTCGGACGCTTCGTGTCGTCCTAATTTTCCGGTACGGACCGGCGATCCGTTTCGTCGATTTATCGTGACTGCGTTTTGCGCAGGAATTTGCCGTCGTGTGCGCTTTCACGTTGACTGCCTGGCCGCCCCCCCGTGCTGGCTTTTCTGCGAGTCTAGACTGTGCGAGGTCAGCGGCTTCAACGTAGGGGTTTCGTTTACGTGTTCTACTCGGCCGTTCGGCAAAAGTGTTCACCAAACGTTAGTATGGGGTGACCTAGGCAAAATATTTTTTCTCCATGGTGCGTGGCCACCAAGTGTCCCTACTCTTTCATATGCTTCGCTTGCCGCCCCTGCGCCGAGTGCAACGAATACCCAGAAGGACTACACATTAGTATGCCTTGCCGCGGTCTGACCAATCGAAAGTCTACACTGCATAGTATTTCCGGGCTATGCAAAACTGTCGGTGGCAACGCGTACTGCAGCCTGCTCCACTGCCTGCAAACGAGGTTGGGTCTACGGTGCTCGCTATTTGTTGAAGCGCAAGCATGTGACGTCGCGTGATAGAGTGCTGTTGCTTCCATAATGTGTTTACAGCTCCATGCTTCCACCACCAAGGCTGAGCGTTGTGAGTTCGCTGCCCGCCACGTATAATTCAGTGTCGCGTTATAATTTCGGGGGCCTGTTTGGGGTCAACGAAGGATCGATGCATTCACAAAAAAATCGACGAAAAAGTGTCCGACCCGGCGGAAGACACCCACATTTTTCCACGGACGTGGAGCCATTTTGGTGTCGCGTGAGACCGCGGTCTCGGATCCTTTCAGGAGCAAACATTTCTCGGAGGCCGAGTAAAACTTGCTCTTATAAAGATGGTTGAACCAACTTCACTAAAAGCTAAATCGACTTTTTCCTCGAAGACGGTCTCGCAAATTGTAAGAAGTTCAAGTTTACGTTTGTTGAAGAGTCCAATACTGAAACTTAATTATGACCTTCCTCCATGATCGTTTGTAATTGTATGGTAACACGCAACATTTTCATTTCAAATGACACCTTTACGTTTTATTGCATTATGATTTATTGTCAAAACTGTACAATCAGCCTTCGCCTGTGTACTACGGTAACCTTTTCACTGCGTTTTCCAAATGCGACTGCCTCACAAAATGCCAATTTAACAGACCAACGGGAACATATACAGACAGTTGCCATGGTACATAATTATCATGTGCGTAAATCGACGGGGACAGGGGGAACCCCCCCATTTTAAAGCGGGGGATATTGTTTGGTTTCCCCCCCCCCCCCCACACACACACACTTTTTCTTCCCCGAATAAAAATTGTAGCCTATACAACAATGATTCTATTGCTCAGAATACATGTAGCTGATTCAATTACTCCAAACTCAAAACTTTACAAGATGATCTTTTGCTGAAATTGGTTTTAGTGGTCAGAAATTGCACCACAGAAATTGCTTTTCTATAACTGCATGTCTCCTTAACTATATCCCCACTTACATTTAACTCCCCAAATTTTCATCCCCAACACTACGCCCTACCCGATCTATGATCGGGTAAATCAGCTTGTATGTTATATGTACATTGTAAGACAATTTTGAGTACCCAACCATTCATGTGTAATGTACCGGTACATGTACACATGCTGACTTAAAGCCCCGACAAGGATTGTACAATGTACTATGCCAATAACATTTATAAATCAACGACGTATGCTCTACCTTGTACGTACTTGTACATTTCGTCCACAAAAATAACACCTACATGTACTTGGTTTGAGCCCCTATATTAAGTATATAATTATAGACCCTTTGCATTACACAGGCATGCAACTGGGAAGTCACAAAAAAGAGGAAATTCAAATTTTCCCAAGACTTTGTACAGTGATGTTCTATTTTCAATGGCACACTTGGGATGTACAAAAAGAGGAATTCAGC